GATGGAACAAATAAAAATAGATAGTCCCGATAAAAATAATAAGAAGTACTCAAAGGAAAAGTCACTCCTTTAAATGTTCTCTTTAACGCACTTTAAAGAAGGAATGCTCGAATTTAGTTAACGTAGTTTAAATGATGTATTTTTCAAAATTATATTTAAACTTCGGCGGTATGAGGGTAAATATATGTAGATAATAGCAATAAAACCAACATTTTATGTTTGTTAGTTATTGGAGTTTGCCTCCTAAGCACGCATATGAAATTACTATTCACTGCTTGTTAGATCAGAACGGCCATTAATATCTGAACTTGCTAATTAAGAGTCACGAATACCTCGTTCTCTAAAGATCTTGCAGTTTTAGCGCTAGGGAAGTACCCGGTTTTTGGCTTCCATGGTTCTTACTAATGTTTTTCCAGATTTCTCTATAAACCTTAGTACACGGATTGTATATAGCCCTAATATTTCACTAATCGTACATGCTTTCACTGCTAAAGATAGAATATTCTTACCATCATCTGCATATTTCAGCGACTTGTAGGCCGTCAGACTTTTCTTCACATTTTTGGAGCCAATCGACTTGTTTTCATTGATGCTTTGAACTACGGTCTCCTGGATCTTCTGCTTGGACTTCAGGCGCTCGGTGAGGGCTTTATTATATAGATATTCCCTACGTTGTCTGGCCTGTTTTCGCAGCATTTTTATTTGTTTTTATTTCGGCCTGCACGTGTACGGTGGAAGTTAAATGAAAACAATACCCAAACCACTCGCGCAGTGCCGATAACTTATCGACAGCTGCTGATGGAACGCGTGGGAAAGAAACACGGTGAAGTAATCTATACCTTATATTTTCTGTAAATTCAAATTTAATTTTTTGATAACAATTCAGATATGTAGTTATTAATTGTATTAAGGTTTTTAGTAACCTCTAATTTTAAGCATACCACTTTTTTCAACTTTCAAACTTTATCGTCCATAATTAATTTTTTTTAAATGATATAATTTTTTTAAACAATTGGCAATTAAAATAACTAAGTTTTTTAATGATGGTTATATTTACTTTTTTAATTTTTAACTTAATAAATCTTATGTTCCATCTTGAACCAATTGAAATTCAAGCCTGACTTTGCCGCTATCTTGACTAACACAAAAATATTTACGACTGTTTATAAATGCTCGTGCACTGCGTTTTTGCATATTGTTTAAATAATATGCTTTTACAATGATTTTTAATGCAATTAAATGCCAGATTAAAGCAACATCAATTGCTCTAATGAGTTAACTTACGGGTTGTGCACATAATACTCGCGTTGCTGGGGAAAACTATGGCATCGTCGGAAGTCGACATAAAAAACATAAACAATTTGCGGCAAAAACATTGGCTACGCAAAGCATTAAAATGGTAAATAAAAAAGTCGGTATTAAATAGTTTTAAAGTTTAATACGAGCAAATGTTAATTTTCGTTACATTTTTAGCAACATCTTCATATGTGTCTGCTTTGCCTAATTGCATTAGCGATACTTTCATATTTCGTACACCAGCGGCCTTCTTGGGTAACTGATTATAAGAAAGTGGTCCACTATAGCGAGGCGTAAGTATAAGTCCTTATAAAGGTATTTTTAAGATAAGCTTATTTTTTTCAGTTTATAATACAAACATACTTTTGCTTTCACCAAAGATTTTTATGACCTTTTTATTTTTGCCATTCCGGTTGTTATAGTTTCCCCAGTCGACAAACAATAACGCATTATGGGAAAAGCAAATATATCTTGAGTACTTAAAAAACAGTCATAACTGTAGTAACTACCCCATTCTTGTTTGAAAATATCCAAACATTTTATTTCTTTTTAACTTTTACTTTTATATGCTCTACATATGATCATATAATTAACAAATTTGAATAGGCCGACCAAAGAAGTTATATCCCCTTTTGATGATTCACTTAAACTTTCTCAATCTCGACTAAACAAACATCTTTATTCCGCAGCCAAGCTTTGAGAACCCCGCTTTATATCGTGGTTGTCTGCTGCGGTCAAAGAGTCCAGGAGACTCTGGTTATGATCAAATCGGCCATTCTTTTTAACTACGACGAAGAGTATCTTAAATTTGTGATCTTTACGGAGGACGGAAAGGGTGATGAGTTCAGAGAAAAGTTGACCGACTGGCGGGATATTAAACCATTTACATTTGACTTTGAGATTTTGCCATTGAAGTTTCCCAGTGGCAATGAAGTCGAATGGAAGAATCTATTCAAGCCCTGTGCAGCTCAACGTTTGTTTTTGCCGGTAAGTGAAACAACAAAATAATATACAAATACCCTATTTTAATTATTTAATTTTTCTAGTCATTGCTAACGCATGTGGACTCATTGCTGTATGTCGACACGGATATATTGTTTCTGTCGCCGATCTCCGATATCTGGCGGTTCTTCAAAAAGTTCAATGAGACCCAAATGTCCGCATTGACGCCGGAGCACGAGAACGAGAACATCGGATGGTACAACAGATTCGCACGACATCCATTCTACGGCCGACTGGGTGTTAACTCCGGCGTTATGCTAATGAATCTCACGCGGATGAGGGAAATGAAATGGGAACAACATATCGTGTCCATTCACAAGGAGTACAAGCTACGCATCATTTGGGGAGACCAAGACATTATCAATATACTATTTTACTATCATCCCGATAAGCTGTACATCATGCCATGCGAATACAACTACCGTCCAGATCACTGCATGTACATGAGTATTTGCAACATGTCTCACGCTGGCGTCAAAGTAATCCACGGAAATCGCGGCTACTTCCACTCAGATAGGCAGCCGCTCTTCAAGTCTATTTACGAGGCTATGGAGAACTACCAGCTGGGCTCGAATGCCAACACCGATTTCCTAATGCCCTTGCATGCAGCACTCAGTATACCATCCGTCAATGACTCAAGCTGTGGAAAAATATCAAATGAAGTATTAAAGGTGGCGAATTTAGTTATAAGTAACAGGTACAGGGAAGTAGTTTAGCACTAGATTATTATTAGAAAATCGAATTATACTTAAGTCATAGGTTTTAATGAATTCCCAATTTTTATATATACGCAATAAAGATGTATATGATGAAAATCAAACTGAAACTCTTCTAGGATCTAAAATGAAACATTAATTTTATTTTAATTCTCGATTGCATGGTAGTTATAATAACAAAGACACTTTGCATTAAAACGGACTTATCTAGGCAATAAATATGTTCGTGTATTTCCATACGACTTTTGACTAAGAACACAGGCATGTATTTTCTAAATTAGATTTAATCCACGGTATGAACTTGCTCACTCTCGAGTAAACACCCGGATATCCTTCGCGGCCGCAACCGACGCCCCAGGAAACGATTCCGACGATAAAATACTTAACTCCATTGGACAACAACAGCGGTCCTCCACTATCGCCCTGGCAAGAGTCCATGGATGGTCGGCCTGCGCACAACATCGATGAGGTAATTCGAGTACTTTTGTATTTCTGATTGCGGCACTCCGTAATGGACATAATGGGAACCTTGACTTGATTCACAATGGAGGGCAGTTCGCCTCCTTCGGACGTTCGTCCCCAGCCGACAACGGTTCCAATTCGACCTGCAAAAATATTTTTAAATTTATTTTATTATTTTTATAGAAACTATTAAGAAATTACCTGCAGGGTCGTAGTTGAACCGCGGAAGACAGACGGGCTTTATGATTTTAGAAAACGAAATAGGCTTGCGAAGTCTCAAAAGGGCAATATCATTGTTGTATGTATCTGGGTCAAAGCTTTTGTGTTTTATCACGGCCGTAACAGCCCGTTGAATGGCTTGCGACTCCGAAGTAATCTCTTGATCGTGGTCTCCGAAAATAATTCGTATCTTCGATTTTCTCAGTTTCTTAACGCAGTGAGCGGCGGACAGCACGTAATCCTTGGTCAGCAAGGACCCACCGCAATGGAATTTTCCGTCATATACGATTCTGGCCATCCAAGGGTATTGGTTAACTCCAGTTGGCTTCCCGCCAACTATGCGAATCTCTTCATTGGAAAAACCACAATCTTTGGGATAAACAGAAAATAGGTTAATCACATGAATTTCAAATACCTGGCCCAAATTAGGCCTTTTGATTAACAGCAAAAATATAGGTCGTACGCAGAATTTTGTCGGCCACTGTATCAAAAAAAGTTTCTACTTTTGCTTACCACAATCACAATTTTTTAGGCTCGAATTTTCTGTATACTCAACATCGTCTTCGGTATCCGAAAGTCCAAAAGCATTCGATACTCCCGAACTTATGCGAAAAATAGTGTCAAATAGAAATTTACTCGTTCGTTTACTTTGGCCCGTGTGGATTGCGTTAATTGCGGACTCATTAAAACCATTTGAATATTCCAAGCACATAAGACCGGAACAGTTCAACGTCAACATCCAGAATAAGAATATATACTTTAAATTCATGTTCACGAATAAGTTAACATTGTAACAATGGGATATTTTTGTTTTTGTGGGGAAACTCGATCAATACATTAACAATTGCAAAGCATCTTTAAACACAACAAAACACTGGCACATCTAAAACTTTAGCAATTGCAATGCTTAAATAAAATCAACAAAGTTTCTGTAAATACGGCCTAAGAGTAAATAAAAGCGTGTAACTAATTAATGTAACATTGAATTTGTACTAAGTTCGAGCATAATGCAGCGTACGAATCGCTTAACGTTAATACAAAACGGGGGAATTAGTCACAGTGTGGCCACATATTCGAGTGGCTAACTGAGCTCTTCTTTGGGCCACCTCATGGTCATGGTGGGTCAGCTGTTTCCAGACCATTTTCACTTTTAGAAAGTAAGGAAACCGGTTTGCCAGTTGATATACAAATATTTACCAACGATCGGTTGAGTTTTAGCATTCAAAAATAGTCGTCTCTCACTGAAAGAATATCAGAGGATATTTTTAGGATTTTTTAACATATTTATAAGATATATAAATAAACAATTTTGAGTGTGTTTTAACAGCAACATTTTAATGCAATACGTTTTCTATCTATGCAAGTTTTTCGTTCTCCAGTCGAACAAATCATCTATACTTTCGTCTTCCTCGCTTCCTGAACTCAATTCAGGATCTACTTCTACTTTGGGGTTAACTCTTCGCTTTTTATTCAAGAGCAACGTCTTCTGATCGTTGATTTTAATGAATCTCTTCCAGTTATCGATTTGCTCGTCGATTTCCTTGATGTGCCGCTTGAGATTGATGTCCTCCTGCTCGTCGGCCACAATAACACTGGACACCGTTTCGGCTCTCTTGATCTCCTGCTGGAATCGCTGCCATTCTTCGTCCTGCAGACGGGCTGCTTCGGTTTTACTGGTCTTGTCCTCGTCGAAGAACTTTTCTGGTAGTTTTTCGGAAGCAGATTCGGTTGCAGTCTTGTTGCTCGCATTTGGTTGAGGGGTTTTCTCCGGAATAATGGCAGGATTCTTTTCCTGGCTGCTGGTCTGTGGAGTTTTATCCGGATGAGATGTGGATGTTGGGATGGTAGGAACAGATACAGAAGAGGGCACTGATGGTTCCTTGAAAACTCTAGTAGTAACCGGCTTTTCTATCTTATTCTGCTTGGCCTGATCCACATTCTGTTTGTGTTGCTTCGAGTTGATGTGCACCTTCCACACGCTGGGTTTGATGGGAATCCTGCAAATTATACAGGTCAAGGTTCCTGAGGAGTCATACGTATAAACGAGTTCAGTTAAGGAAACCATGTAACGTTGTTTTATAAAGAAATAATAATGTTATTTAACAAAACAAACAAATGTTTTGCAAAACACCGGCTAAAAATGTAAATAAAACTTGGTGTTGTGTGTTTCAAAAGGATATTTTGCCAGGGGTGAATCCACTTTGACATCTGGCTTCTTAGAAACGCTCAGTTTCTTTTGGAGGCGTTTATTACTTCCATTATTCATGTTGATATTATATTTAATTTTTGTTTTATTCGGCGACTTTTAGGGCATCAGATGGGAACGAGTTTAATGAACTAGTTCTATTTGTAGTAAACTGGTTCATACCTAGAGATGAGCAAAGCGACGATTAATTCTCAGGAAACAAATGGAATGGGCCATAAAACAATTCATAAATTTAAATATAAGGTTGACTCACATGATAAATAACTTTTACAACAAAGATTTATTGTTCTTTACATAACCAAAAAAAATGTGTGAAGCTAGAAACCAAAATTATAAATGTTAAAAAATGCCTCAAAATGAAAAGATGCAATCGAGTTCTTTCAATTTTAATTCCAGTCATATAAGCTCTGCAAAAATCTTTAAAAATAATTATTAATAGAAGTAATTCCCACAAGTTAAATTAAATATATCGCATCGAGACGTTCTTTTAATCGATTGCCCCATCGATAACAAACCTGCCACCGAGTTGGCAGTCTACCCGGCAATTTTTTTAGACTACGTGTCTAAGCGAAGAATGTGTCGTTGCATTTCGGATCGGCTATAATTTTATCGTCACTGGCTGGAATTGGGACATGAATCGGACGCCGAAGATGCTGAACAGCAAGGTGGCTGGCTACAGCAGCCTGATAACCTTCGCCATCCTGCTAATAGCCTGGCTGGCCGGATTTTCCTCACGCCTCTTCGCTGTCATCCGCTTCGAGTCGATAATCCATGAGTTCGATCCGTGGTTCAACTACCGGGCCACCGCCTATATGGTCCAGAATGGCTGGTACAACTTCCTCAACTGGTTCGACGAGCGCGCCTGGTATCCGCTGGGCAGGATTGTCGGCGGCACCGTCTATCCCGGTTTGATGATCACCTCGGGCGGCATCCACTGGCTGCTGCACGTCCTCAACATTCCGGTCCACATACGCGACATCTGCGTCTTCCTGGCGCCGGTCTTCAGTGGCCTGACCTCCATCTCCACCTATCTGCTGACCAAGGAGCTGTGGTCCTCGGGCGCCGGCCTCTTTGCCGCCAGCTTCATCGCCATCGTGCCGGGCTACATAAGTCGCTCGGTTGCGGGTTCGTACGACAACGAGGGCATCGCCATCTTCGCCCTGCAGTTCACCTACTTCCTGTGGGTGCGCTCCGTGAAGACGGGCTCCGTCTTCTGGTCCGCCGCCGCCGCGTTGTCCTACTTCTACATGGTCTCCGCCTGGGGTGGCTACGTGTTCATCATCAACCTGATTCCCCTGCACGTCTTCGTGCTGCTCCTCATGGGCCGCTACTCGCCGCGCCTGCTCACCAGCTACAGCACCTTCTACATCCTGGGATTGCTGTTCTCCATGCAGATTCCCTTCGTGGGATTCCAGCCGATACGCACCAGCGAGCACATGGCTGCCATGGGCGTCTTTGTACTCCTGATGGCCGTGGCCACCTTGCGCCATCTGCAGTCGGTGCTGTCGCGTCACGAGTTCCGCAAGCTCTTCATAGTCGGCGGACTGCTGGTTGGCGTCGGCGTCTTTGTGGCCGTCGTGGTGCTTACCATGCTGGGCGTTGTGGCACCCTGGAGCGGACGCTTCTACTCGCTGTGGGATACGGGATACGCCAAGATCCACATTCCCATCATTGCCTCCGTGTCGGAGCATCAGCCGACCACCTGGTTCTCGTTCTTCTTCGATCTGCACATCCTCGTCTGCGCTTTTCCCGTGGGCGTGTGGTACTGCATCAAGCAGATCAACGACGAGCGCGTCTTCGTGGTGCTGTACGCCATCAGTGCGGTCTACTTTGCCGGCGTGATGGTGCGTCTGATGCTGACTCTCACGCCCGTGGTGTGCATGCTGGCCGGAGTGGCCTTTTCGGGACTGCTGGATGTGTTCCTGCAAGAGGATTCGTCGAAGCGAGTGGGCACGGCCATTAACACGGCCACCGAAGTGGATGAGGCCGAGGATTCCATTGAGAAGAAGACGCTGTACGATAAGGTGGGTCAATATTGTAAGGGATCTTGAGAAATGTTTTTGAAAAACCTTTATTTATAGGCTGGCAAACTGAAGCACCGCACGAAGCACGATGCCCAGCAGGACACTGGCATCAGTTCGAACCTGAAGAGTATTGTTATTTTGGCCGTTCTCATGCTGCTGATGATGTTCGCTGTCCACTGCACCTGGGTGACCAGCAATGCCTACTCCAGCCCCTCCATTGTACTGGCCTTCCACAACAGCCAGGATGGGTAAGCAAGCTAGATATAAAGGGTTCGGAAAATAACGCACACTGTAAAAAACTTGTGTTATTAGCATGTAAAATGTCAAAGTGTTAAGTTCAAAAAAAGTTATTCACTAATGTGTAAAAAATTGTATCCTACATAAACAACACACACATGTCATTTGTGTTATTTACACGACGTGTTATTAACACGACAAGTTTTTTTACACAGCGTGTTTTTAACACAATGAGTTTTTGACATTAAAAAATTTAAAAAATTCACGGGTTTGATAAGAATTCACATATGCTTTGAAATGGTTAAAACTAACATATAAGATATCATGCCCCATATTGGTTTTTAATGTCAGTAAAATGTAATTTTCATTTATGTTAAAAGCACAGTGTGTAAAAAACACGTCGTGTTAAAAACACAAGTGAGTTGTTTGTGTTAACAATTATTTTTCACATTTTAACACTTTTGAATTTGCCACACATGTGAACAATTTTACTCACTGTAAATACAATTTGTCATGTTTTTAACATGTGTGTCAATTTTAGAACCCTGATTTATGATTCACCTTCTACTATTTTCCGACCTTTTCTCCCTCAGATCCCGCAACATTTTGGACGATTTCAGGGAGGCTTACTACTGGCTTTCTCAGAACACTGCTGACGATGCCCGCGTTATGTCGTGGTGGGATTACGGCTACCAGATAGCGGGCATGGCGAACAGAACCACGCTGGTGGACAACAATACGTGGAACAATAGTCACATAGCGCTCGTGGGCAAGGCAATGTCCTCGACCGAGGAGAAATCTTACGAAATTATGACCTCTCTTGACGTGGACTACGTCCTAGTGATCTTTGGCGGTGTGATCGGCTATTCGGGCGATGACATCAACAAGTTCCTCTGGATGGTGCGCATTGCCGAGGGCGAGCATCCCAAGGACATCAAGGAAAGCGATTACTTCACGGACCGCGGTGAATTCAGGGTGGATGCCGAAGGTGCTCCGGCTTTACTTAATTGCCTTATGTACAAATTAAGCTACTACCGATTCGGGGAACTGAAATTGGACTACAGGTAGGGGTAGAAATATATTTCAGGTAGATTTTCTAGCTAATACTAATTACTTTATTTTAGAGGACCTTCCGGATATGATCGCACTCGAAACGCAGTCATCGGAAATAAGGACTTTGATCTGACCTATCTGGAAGAGGCCTATACAACAGAACACTGGCTTGTTCGCATCTATAGGGTGAAGAAGCCGCACGAGTTCAACAGACCGTCTCTGAAGACCAAGGAGAGGACGATTCCTCCAGCAAACTTTATCTCCAGAAAGGTATTGCCTACCCATTAAATCTTTAAATTAACTCTTAATAATATTTTATTACTTTTTCAGAACTCGAAGCGTCGCAAGGGCTACATAAGAAACCGACCGGTTGTTGTTAAGGGAAAGCGCACCTTGAAATAAACCCAAAAATATTTAATGGTATTGATCTTTCACCAATATAGTAAACTTGGTTAAAACACTTTACACGCAGCACACAGTTTGGTGAAAGTGTTTCCACCGCATCCTCATGTTGAGGGCTCTAATCGCCGCCCCAAAAATAATAATTTAACATATTTTCCCAGACTCGTGTGACACAATTTTTATCGAGTTGCTTGTTTTGATGAAATTCCCGGTACCTTCGATTTAAACTGTTTCGCGGCTCCACCATTCATTGTCTTAAGCTAGCAATTCAATAAAGCAGAGTGTACATTTTTAAACCTTATTAAAGGATGTATTAATTATTTTTATTTTGAGATGAGAAGAGAATTCTAATCATTACGTCGTCGTCGCTGAAGTTTTCGATCCAAGTCCCTTGACTTTTGCTTCTTGGGGGGTACGAAAACCGAGGAACTGAATGGATTTTCAGCCTCATCGAGTTCATTTAGGCCAGAGGATTTGGGAAGGACCAAGTTGCTGGAGTCGAAATTGAACTCATCATTTGAGTTGGCCAGTTGGCGGCGAAAGACGGCGGCACTGTTCGTAATCCGGGCTTTTGGATGGGAAGGCGGAAGCCACGAGACAGTCTGAGTGGTTGAATTATAAAAGTAATAGGCCTTGCAGCCCTTGTCGTACACATCCTTCCAACCCGCCTCCAGGGGATATTTCCTCAAAAGCCTCTTGTAGCGCTTGAGATACTTGTGACTCGGTTGCGAGTGCGAAAGCGGGGAGCTATTAAACTTATTCACGCAGTACAGCGAGCACTTGTGGTAGATGTTGTACTTGTTGGGACACAGCTTATATCCGTGATAGGACTCGTTCACGCCGATCCGTTCCTTGATGCGGTGCGACCAGAACTGCTCCTCGGTGCTCCGTCGCTTGGGTTCCGGCGCCGAGTCCTCTTTATATGGATACGGACCGCTCTTATCATCGTCATCGTAGTTTTCGGCTATAATCTCTTCTATAGCTTCTGAAATCGGTGTGGTTCCTGTAGGTAAATTTAGTTATATCCTATGTTATACTAATTCCCATAGCTTCCTATTTACCCGATTGTTTGGTCACAAGTCCTCGCTTCTTAAGGCGCTGCAATAAGGCTGCCGGTAGGCTCATTTTAATATTTATATCCCCGGTATTGTTTACGTTTTGTTAAAATAAAAAATCTAGAAAATTAATAGGACCAAAGCTTAACATGCCGTATAATACCAAGTGGTACTGGGAGCGTTATATTTTACTAGAGGTATTTACTGCGCGAGGCCTTGCGGTCACATTATTTTCAGCGAATAATAATATTTCAGGTCAAGTTATTTTTCCCTGGATATAATCCTACACTAGAAAAATATGGCTGATAACGCAGAACCACTGACTCTATCGAGAGGTAGGAATTTTTAATTACAGTGAATACAAAGCCGAAACATCCGATAAATCCCTTAAATTACAGATGTCAAAAGATCGATAGAGCTCTTGGAAAAACTGCAGGCTAGTGGAGATTTCCCCACAACAAAACTGGCTGCCCTGCAGAAGGTGCTAAACTCCGAGTTCATGACGTCAGTGCGGGAGGTGTACGAACATGTCTACGAGACCGTTGATATTCAAGGATCCCATGACGTCAGGGCCTCTGCCACCGCCAAGGCGACCGTGGCTGCCTTTGCCGCCAGCGAGGGACACGCACATCCCCGAGTCGTCGAACTGCCCAAAACGGAGGAGGGTAAGCCACGCCCTTGTGATCGTAGAAACTCTAAGGGGATCCTTTGGCAATACTATAAAGTTTTAACGGTGAACTAGGAAGAGTATTATGAACGTATATCTAAAGGAGTTCCTTTATTGTTTCAATAGGACCCCAAAACCGTAGATATAAAATATGATATTTTCCGTTAACATATTTTTGAGTAATGGTAATCTTATGATCCTAGAAACTCTAAGGAGATCTTTTGGCCATACTATAAAGTTATAACAGTGAACTAGGAAGAGTATTATGAAGGTATATCCAAAGGAGTTTCTTTATTGTTTCAATAGGAGCCCAAAACCGTGGATATTAAATATGATATTTTCCTTTAACGTTATATTTTTGATTTATGGTAATCTTCTAATCATAGAATGGTAAATTTAAATGTCCTAGAACATTTAATATATTTGATTAGCACTCCAATACATATAAGGTCCATATCTACATACATTGCATTATACTTTCATCACTCAATCTTTTTATAGAAGAGTACTTATGTACGCACTTACTATAGAACCTAATCTTAATTACCGAAATATGATTTCTTCCCTTCAGGCTTAGGTTTTAATGTGATGGGAGGCAAGGAGCAAAACTCGCCCATCTATATTTCCCGTATAATACCTGGAGGAGTTGCCGACAGGCATGGTGGACTAAAACGAGGTGATCAACTGCTGTCTGTCAACGGTGTGGTAAGTCATTAAATTAAACACCTTAAGCAAGGTATTCTTGTTCTACAAAATGTAATTATTTCAGTCGGTTGAAGGAGAAAATCACGAAAAGGCCGTTGAGCTTCTCAAGCAAGCTGTTGGATCTGTAAAGTTGGTAGTACGCTATACACCAAAGGTTCTTGAAGAAATGGAAATGCGTTTCGATAAACAACGCAACACACGTCGCCGCCAATAAAAAGCACATAGGCCAAAAACTTAAGCCATAGTAGTTTTTGCCACCAGACCATACTGTTATTCACGTGTGCGTAAAACAAAGCCCCTACGAATAATATACTTTAATACAAATACCATTTAATTATTATTTATTACAAGAACTCCGAAAATAACTCTTAAATCGTAAAAAGTGAATGTTATGTATTTATACCTAAAATACCGTGTTGGTTTCTGTTCCAATAAAAGTAAATGAAAATAATTCTCAAGCTAAGTTTTCTTTCTTTAACTTCTGAAGTTCCCCAATTAAAAAAGTGTTATTCTTGGGTTTTAGTACGATCGCCGTAGAAAATATAAAAATACATTTTTTATTGCTTTTCTTTACAACGTATTACTTTTTACAATTTAGGAGAAGGATCGGTTTTTCAATTTTTTAAGAAAGTCCTTGGCTTGTTTATCACCTTGTCTGTATTCCAGGGCTCGTAGCGAATCGGAATCTGAAAATATGAAATGTACATATTTTTTGTTTTATAGCATAGTTCTGTAGTTGGATAATATACCTGTGTATTCTGGTCTGGATAAGTTCATCATAATTTGTTCGCCTGGTGGCGTTACCTCGAGATCTTCGAATGAGATATAGCTCTCTGCTAAATACTTGGTGGACATTCCGAACAGATCTTTATCTTTGACGCTGAATACAATTAGACTGTTTTTCTCATTACGCTGTTGCTCACTCAAGGTTCTATTAAAGAGTATCATTAATATCTGGCACAAAAATATTAATAAATCGATTACTTACATACGAAACTCCTGATCGTAAAGTGGAAAGCAACTTTTGTTGTGCACGTTAGTCTTCACTGTTGTAACATCATTGAATCGGCTTGTAGGCATGAAGCTAGCTTTAACAAAGGAATCCACCGATCCATTCGAATCCATTGGCATTAGGTTGCGTGCATTTAAAATAGTTAACTATAAAATTAAACAGAAATTAAAATAAATAGTAAGTATTAAGATAATTAATTCTTACCAGTAACCCAGAATCAGTTAGTTCAGCCGTTACAGTAAGTTGCCCATAGGGAGATGACTCTTGGTTCTTTTGGTTTTCCAGACGCTCCAAATAATACTGATGAATTAGATCGGCTGTTTCCAGTGAATACAGCCTGAGTCTACTCTGAATTGAAGACAGAATCTTAATGTCCGAAGTCTGAAGGTTTCCCATTTTGAAGCAATCCATCATTGTCTGAAGAGTGTTGTTTAAATTTTGAAAGAAAGCTGGTGGTCGACGTTTCTAAAGGAAATAAAAGATGTTTTATTTATGTTTTGTTTAGAATAAAGCGTACTTACGTCAAGATTGGATTGAATAAGGTCGTACATTATAATTGAAAGCTCAGACCAAATGCCATCCAATATCCTTTGAAAGTTGACTTCATTGAGAGTATCGTAAAGCGTTGTCAACGAGCCCTCCAAGTACATCATCAACTGATCCATCGAGTTGGAGTCCTTGGCGAGGACCTCAGCACCTTCCGCCAGATATCGTTTAATGGGCGGTGCCATTCTTCGGGCTACAATTTCTATAAGCTCAACGATCTGATTGCGTTCGGTGTCTAAAGCGTTTTCGATTACAGTTTTGATGGTACTAGCACATCGTTCAGCCTCTAAGTTCGTGCGATACTCGCCCAATCTCTTAATTATATCATCAATGCTAAGTTCCTTAAATAATAAAACAATTAATTTAATGATTTCTTTCTATTATAGTGAATAAAATCTATTACCTTTATGAATGAAGGTAAGCTCTGGCGGATGTAATCCATGTTGTTTATGGCTATGCACCATTCTTCTGACAAGGCTGTAAAATAAATAATTAAATTAATATGAAATGCTTGTTAATCATTCTTTTAAACTTACTGAAATTCTTATTATTATCATCGGCAATGAAAATGTTTTCGACTCTGCGAGACATCTGTTGAGCATAAAATATGCAGCACCGACAAAGGTCCTGTAAAAATATAATTATCACATAAAGACACTTGATTATAATGATTTTACAATCTTACATTGACAATTTTGGCCACAAATATGTAGGAACCCTCGACTTCTGGCCAGTCAAGTTGTTGCCAAAATATCTTAATTTGGTAAAATATTGAAAGAGTGTCCACAGCGGAAGAACTGTATTTAACTGTTTCGTCCACAGCTTTCAGCTGATCCAAATCAATTGCCTTCTGTATGCGGCTTAAAGCCTTAATGATAGAAATATCCAGCCAATGAGTAACTCCCCTCTCGAACCAGGGATAAAAGTTGGCCAGTTCCAGGCTTTCGGAACAAAGCGATTCTCCTAAAAACAAAATAAAAACATATTAGAATCTTAACATAAATTTTTAAAATCAATTAATTCACCTAATTGGACATATCGCTTGAGTATTAAGTAGACTTCGAATAAAGTTGTTCCCATATTTACATTCTCAAGATTCGGTAGATATAAGAATTGATCGTCTGGCACATCCAGTCGCTTAATATTATTGCACACTTCTATTATAATGGATTTACAAATTTCAGCAAGTTTTGAGTCATAGAATAAATATAGTATTGCGGAATAGTTAATCTGAATTTTGCTGAAAAGGAAAAGGAAAGTAGTGTTTATAAGTAAAGTATTTTATAATAAGATGTTAAACTTGTAAACTTACTGGTAAAATATTTTATCAAAGTATTCCATTGCACGTTGTAGGTCAGACCGTACCATTTGTATGAGTTTAATGATGTACTGCAGCTTTTCATCATCGGTTTCTGTGTTTTTGGACTGCCTGCTGCCCTCCACTATGTGCTCCAGCCATTCCTTTGTCCCGGTATTGATGGCATCCACTATGGCAGTGTCAATATTGCACGTTTCATCGGTTTCGTTTGTGTGTAGCCAGCCGTAAACCGATTTGGGGAAAATATCTGCACTTTCCGGCACCTCCAGTTCCTTAATCTTCTTTAGAATATCCAGCACTTCATTCAGTGCTCTTATTATATTTTTATCACTGGTGTTTTTGGACCTCAATTTCCGTAGGACAGCGAAGCACGAGGGCAGAAGCCTCCTAACTCCATCCCAGAATGTTTTAACATCCTCCGAATCATTCTGCATGTAGGTGATAACCGGCACCACAATATCCAGAATAGAATTGAAGAGTGTGAAATTGAGTTTGTGTGTTTCATGAATGGTGCTGTAGGCGTGCCACTGGCTAAGGGCGCAGTCAAACGGGGTCAATCCACTTTGGGCAGCGTGCTGCGATCGAATAAGTTCGGCATTGGGACTGAACTTTCCGCTCCACCAGTAGTTGGCCACCTGCGAGGTTTCCAACTCGTACATTAGCAAAAGTTTAAGTAAATTCTTGTGCTCCTGCACGGCGACACTTTTGTTCTTTTCCGCACTCAAAGCGAGATTCACCAAGAGAGATCCTCGACTCCGGCCCTTGCTTCCCTTCTCGAGATTATACCAAACGGTTAGACCAGAAACTGGAATAGACTAGGGAAATTGGGGGGTTTAAATAAAAAGATCTTTTTAGTTTTGAGTCATCTTTCTTACCTTAAGGGTAATTGCAGCTCTCCCAATTAATTCATTGTCATGTTTTCCGGATGAAGCGGTCACTGCTATTTCTTTCATTAGCTTACTCAGACCCTTTACACCCTTCACATCCAGGATTTTGTTGACTTTTTCTTTAACCGTCTCCGCGGCATCAAAGTCCCTGAAAAGATAGAACATTGTATTCGTCAATTAATAAATTTTATTATTTTTATTACAACAACTTTCCAAAACTACGCAACCAAATAGAAAATATAACGATTAGTCAAATGATTTTTTCAGATACCATACCTCGTTGTAAGTTTGAGTCAGACCATAAACCTATTAATCCGCGATAAGTGCATTTCAGAATTCAAGAAGCGTTAAATAACTTAAGTTTGTTGAGTGCGTTTTATTGAACGTAAGCAAACAGAATAACACTTACCAGACTTCAACGATAAGCACTTCGTCTCGAGCATTCTCAGTAATCGGCCTGGAAAAATAGTATAATTACTAAATAGGAAAATTGAATTTTAAATACAATACTTACAGTGAAAAGTGCTCCTCCCATATAGGATTTAATGTGGCAGGTTTTACAGATGAATTATATCGATGGGAACCATTCGACTCTAAGTATAGGGTCACAAACGGATCGGATAGGCCATTTGAATCCTTGGACATTAAGTTTTCGGCCTTGATAATCTCGACATTTAATCTAACATTGGGTGGTTCTTTCAATCTAGCCGCCTCACAGATTTCCACATGCGTTGCGTTCGGAATTTTGAATGCATCCTGCACAAATTCAACCAAACTGTTGGTGCACTCTTCGTTGTTTTCACAGCCAATGTTGTTGAAAATTTCAAATAAAATCTCTTCATACAGATCTGTAACCTGCAAATTAAACATGAAGTAATTAATTCTATCTCAATAGCGCACAATTAAACACATGCGACATTTATAACGTATCTATTCAGAGGAGTATTTTAATTGTATTGAAATAAAAATAGAAATAAATCACTTATCTAAAGGTCAAAGCTAAGGAAAATATCGGCAAATTCCAGAAAACGGAAATATAAACAAAAGCGTCACAGAGAAAACAGAAAACCAGACACAGCTGATGTCATATTTACTTGGCTACATTTTAGAATAAATCCCATAAATTATCCAGAAACATAAATATTTACTTAAATCAATCCATGAACTTCCTAAGGGTATTCTGTAAAACATTCAATAAATTCCTTAGATTCCTAGATTCTACATAATTCTCCTATTCAGTTTTTTTGCCAAAAAACAAGTACATAAATATATCCAAAAACTGAAATACTCGATACACTTAACTCGAATGACTCAACAACAATTTTAAATCAATGAACTTATACAATCGCTTTTGTTTACCAAGGCACATAGAACTCAAAAATGTTTCCCTTAGATGTTTTTTCTAGCAGTATATGATAGAAGACAGGTATTGATAACACCTGTTGTTATCTAAACTTCAAGTTCTACTTACGGTCATCGAATGGCAAACCGCCTTGGCATGGGAGTCGAGTAAATGCTTATGAACTCCTCGAAAGTGTCGACTAGAAATGCTTCCATTTCGATTCAATATGCTCATTCGTCGCTCAAATGGCTTATTAAGTGACTGGGTTGAGGATGCTTTTCTCGAGAGTCTGATATCGTCGCATCCGGTACGCGATCTGGATCTGTTAAGGCTATTGGTTTTCGAACTTTGGTTAGACGGGTTGTGATTTTGGGATCCGAACTTGCTCAGAACACGTGGTAACGAAAGGTAGCTCATTTTTAATTGCTGTAACTATCTAATCACTCCACAAAATATATTTAAATGGTTTGAGTGCAAGCGAAATTTTTGGCAAATCTTTTCTTGCAAATATACAATTCGAAATAGACGCACATATTATCCGAAAAATCACGGAAAACCCAATGGACTTAAGAACACCGACTAGACCCAACCGCTTCGGGGAAGAGTCTGTATCTAAGTACAATAGCGTCCGGTCTCGAAAATCTTTGCGATATCCGAAATATCTTGACGTTGACCATGAGATAAAAAGTGTATGCGCTCAATTCGATTCAGATCGCTTACTGTATTTGTGCATATGTACACGGCGATTCCCAAGTGTTTGTGAGTAATAATAAAGCAATCTTAAGAGAAAATGTTTTATTTTTGGATTCAAAAAGGAAAAGCTCAAGGTGGTAATGAAAAGTGTATTTTCTAAAGTACATTAAGCTTTCCTCTCGCTCAATTCGCCACAGTCCGTTGTATGTTTGCATGTTCTTCAGTGCTTGTTTATGTTGTCAGTATACATTATTCAGTTTGTTTATACAGTCGGTGTATATAGTTAGGTAGGTAGGTGCATAGGCCTCTGGCAAGTTCATTTGTTTATTGTTCAAACGTTTCTATGGACACGACTTAATTTTTTCTGTTCAATTAAACTACACCTTCCCAGACGGCAAACATGCGAACAGCAAAATGTTGGTATAAGATAAAACATTGCACGGACATTAAAACGCTGGGATCGTTATGCTCCGCTGCAGGCTAGAAAACTGACCTATGTCGAAATTTCCTCGGTAGTCAGGTTTGGAAATTGTGAAATGAATGTGACCAGGCTTAAAAGGCCCCCATATCCACCAATACAACCCATGGTGGGTTGCTAGTTTGGGAGCCTCGACGGTTACCAAAAGCTTCTGCAGATGTGAGTTGAATCTGAGGTACCAAAAGAAAACTAATAGGACAGAAGTTCCACAAGCGATTGTACTATTTCATCGAGTTCAGGGTTTTTTACTACTTTTTTCAATACCTAGGTCATCGGTAAATAATTCTTAGTAATTCCTAAAATTCTTAAATCATTTTGATTTTTTAAAATGTTTTAAGCTTTCAGAGTTTTATTAACATATGTGTTATTTGGCATAAAACTTTCACCTTGTTGTTAATTAGGTAAAGGTAATAAAATGAAGGAGAGACCTAAAATAAATTAAAAATAATCCTCACCGAAAGTGTTACAAATTCCCAAAAAATCGAATGAATCATTCAACAGTTAAAAGCGTCTTTATATAAAATGAAGAGTAAATGGATAAGTGAAGAGTTGGTTTGAACCTTAAATGCTACACAGTCCTATATGAAAATTCGTTTAGACAGAAAGTTCCATTGACATTAGCTGAAGCTCAGCTACATAGATACACCTAATGGGAATGTTGTTTGATTATTACCATCCGTTCTGATCTTTCAGTAGCCTTGTCACCCTGATTCATAGCTTGGGGAACTCACAACTTACAAATGTGTTCAATGAACAGAGCTTTCTGTTTCTAAAGGGAATACTTACATTCATTACAGGAGCCGATTCCAAAACGGATGCGCTAATATCATTATCAGAAGTCGATGCCAAGGTACTTTCCGTGGCAAAGGTATCGATGCTGGTGCACTCCGGATCCTGGCTGCATTGTAGGGTGCCATCGGGACTTTCGTCGGACTCCTCTGCCTCGGCACTGCCATTTTCCTCAAAAGGAGCAAGGGAGCTTTTCAGGACACCCTCATCAATTTGGGATTTTTGCCGCAAAAGGGATCCAAATTTTTCGAAAAAGCCATCATCTCCATCTTGCAGTCTAGAAGAAAAATTTAAACTAGTAAATCATATCTAGAGATTTTTATAACAATGAATAAGCAACGGCTTATCGTTTAAAAGGGGATTTTAGCTAAGATATAGAACAAGTCATTAAGTATTGTCTGAGCTCAGGGATTGTATGAAAAATAGCTGAAAAAATTCCCTAGATCTGAGTCATGTTTACATATATTACCACCCACTCGGTAAAATCGATCTGTGGCTTGGATTCCCTTACATCACTTTCGGTGTCTCACGCACACATTATTACTCCACTTGATAATCTTTAATTTATCCGATGACACAGTTCCAGTTCTCCAAAATGTTCATATAAAGAAACACACATATCCATGAGTTTTTATTTTGCCACAGGTGTGCGTGAGTCTGTATTTTTTGGATCGATTTATTTGTCCAACTTACTGGTGTTCATGCTCTGTGGGCGGATTCATTTTGAGTTCCTGCAACTTGAAGAAGAACCCCTTCCACATTTGTTCCTCGTCCATTCTGAAGATGCTATTTTTGATATATTTTTTAAATTTTTAAGGGAGCACAGGCACGGCAACCGGAATCCAACAAGTGTCACCGGAGTGTAGAAACATACTAACGGCTTATTTGCACCGAACAAACGATGTGATTCATTGCCAAAGCTGCTCTCCGACGTAGATTTTTCTCAGTGGTATTCACACGCTCTTCCGTACACTATCACAAATTATAATTAGGTATGTTTGTAAACCCACATTAGGCGAAAGTAAGGAAATGGGGAAGAGCAGAGAGATACATACGAACACTGGTTACCATGGTGATCGCTGGGGTTTTTATCTGGCTATTTTGTTTATGATCTTAGAATCTTGCATCTTTAAATTTATAAAATCTTTTAAAATAAAAACTCATTGAGAATAGTTTCTGAATGGTGGTATTGCCACACACACACACACCTGCATGAAAAAGGTAGGGCTAGGTGTAAATGTTATGGTTGTTGTAGCTACCTCTGCAGACCTTTTCATGGTCAACTACGCATTTGAAGACACCCTTTTTTAGGGTCCAAATAAATATCTATCAACGAACAAGTTACTGGATAGACAACTTACCTTATCTTGTCGAAAAGCCTTAATTCTGAACGCCGGAAATAGCCCTTCAACATTATTAAGTCCTTTGCAAGGTTAAAATGTGGGTATTCATTAGTTGGGATTACCAATTGGGAATTAAGAACCCATTAATCAAAACACATTTTTATAATAACCGATTAAATTAAGGAAGCATGATACGTGATTAAACACTTTAAAGTTTTCTATTTATAGATTGTAAAATAAATTAAGATTAGATTAGATTTGTTTATGAATTTGGTATTAAAAATACCGACTATTAAAACTACCGAGTACCGTCTTTCGATATTTTACAGATGGCAGCGCTGCAGTCCGATAAACAAAACAAACCCACGGCAATAACAACAAATTTGTTATTTGCTCAATTTATAAATTAAAAAATCATGAATCTAAAATATAAGCGACGGTACGAGAGTTTAAAACGCTCTGTGAAGAGTTATCTGCTGGTAAGATCGTACAAACGTATGGGGAATTATGTATAAATGTGCGATCTATTAACATACGTAATCCAATTTTAGGAGAACGCATCTCTCACCGACGAGATCTGCCGCCTGCAGGCCGAGTTATCCGTCACCCGATCTCAGAGGCTATATTTGATTGAGAGGCTCATGTTCCACGAGGGTCTGGAGAAGTCGACCAATGGACGTCCCAGTGTCTCGAACGGAAAAGTCGAACCCACTGATGCTACTTCTGGGGGTCAGAAGAAACCCAAACCAGTTGTTGTGCACAAGAAGCCCAGCGAAGAAAAGCCGAAAAATGTCGCGGTGATACGGAAAAAGAAGCCCATGTTTCCGATGAACCTGAATAATGTATTGCTGCACTCACTGGGGGAGATAATATCAGTGAATCCCAATTTCCACACCGAGAACTGGATATATCCAGTGGGCTATGTGGCCACCCGGATTTACGCCCATCCCAAGGACCCGCGCAAAAAGTGTGTATTTACTTGCAAAATTCTGAACAACGCCGGGATTCCCCAATTTCAAATAATACCCGACAACGATTTGGATGGAGTCTTCTTCGGAGAGAGCGCCAATACGTGCCACATGGAACTTTTAAACTCCATTCAGAGGTCTCCCAGTGTAAAAGTGAAAATACCCTTTGACATACAAGGAGAGGTCTTCTTTGGATTGTCCAACCAAAAGACACAGTCGCTTCTTATGATGGACCCAGGCTATCATCATTGCACAAATTTCAAAGGATTCGCAGTGCAGAATGTTCAATCGTTGAATAGCGTCTCATTATCGTTTGAGACGCTTCAAGGGTTTTTATCCTGATAAGATTTTTTAGTTTGTCTCTACTATAAGATTTTCATAAATAGATAAGAATAAAACCTATTATATTCAAAAAACCAAACAGCTGATATTTCTGTTCCAGTTCCATGTCGTCTGTTTCATTTCCTAATGGAGATGCATTTATTTACTATTTATTGCTTAAAACAAAATAAATCTTTAGTAGGAATTAAAATGTTAGAATTATGAAATATTTTTATGAAAATATTTCTGTTCTGTTTCCACTTGGTTCATTATATTTAAAATCATATGTTTTCTGGCCATAAAACTGTGTGCATTCGTGGTAATTTCGAATGGAACGAAAAGTGCACTTTGTTTTGTTGTTGCTAACTATCGGCTTTTCCTATCACGGAACCGAAAACAAGCTGGCAACCTGCTGGGGCAATCGGAAATACAACCCTTGGCCAGAAACATATGTACACAACACCTATCTGAAAAGTATTAAATATTTTTGGAAAGTTGTTTTGGTTGGCGTTGAATTAACCGACATTGCACCAGCAGCCGAGGATATAGCAGAGCAGCCAGATCGGTCGAGATGGGGAGCATCGAAAAGGCGTGTATATCCGGATTTCTGTGCCGACTCTGTTCCGAGATGCACCGAACAGTAATACATATTTATAGTGATCATGGCCAGCGTTTGTGTCTTGTTGAGAAAATCAACGGCTATTTGCCAATAACAGTGAGTATTACTGGGTACTAGATGCGAGGATATTTCAAGGCCTTTAAGAAATGGGGTTACACATCATCGACCATTTTTGTATGTACTCGAAAACCAGGCATTGCAACAGAGGTTTGCACAAACAATAGTTTTCCCGATAGGTCAATCTATAAACGTTTTGGGAGTAGCATTTATTGATTAATCATATATTTATTCATCGCACCAGATTTCTCCGACTGATCCCTTGCCAAAGACCATTTGCAAAACGTGTCTGCATCGCGTGGAACAGCACTACTCGCTGCTAATGCGACTCACACAGATGCGGGAGAAGCGCAAGATTAATGTAATCGAGTTCAAATCTCGCATAGAAGTGAGTAGAAAAGATATACTATGGTTATACCCATACTCAATGAACTGCATTTCCAGAGAAATCCATCGATATCCAGTGTGAGTGAGTCGGATGAGGAAGTGGTGAGTTGTTTGGTTTCTTTTCGAAAGAATTTAGTCATAACTCTCCGCTGACTTTGCAGATAAATCGATCCACCTCGATTCACGAATTCTCGGATGAAGAGGATCAGGCGCCGCGCCGCAACGAGACCGAATCCTCAACTGGCCCACGGACCCAGGAATCCCAATCCCAATCCCAATCCCCCAAGTCAACAGAGACTGTAGTGCCCACACCAAACAGCAGCGAAAGCCACAATGATAGTGGCGCTGGCCCCAGCAATAGAGACCCCATAGAGACTGTCAGAGGCACTGGAACAGGCACAGGCAGCACCAGCCAGCAAGGAACCCACGTAGATTAATGACTGCCAGCCTCGTCTCTGGTCGGTGGAACTATATACACGAGTACTTTACCATGTATATATAGACACAATTGTGTGTGCGTACGTTTAGATTGGAATAAAATAAGCATTTTATTTAATGAACTAGGTAATTTCGAATACAGATGATAAGTGAACCAACCAACGCACACTTTTGGATTGGCAGGATAGAGTATCTTTATAGTTGGTCAAATACTTTCTGCGAAACTGGCCCATCGCTCAACGTGGCATATCCACTTTGTTTACCTTAATCTTATCGTAGCTCATTTTAGTGGCTACATTCTTTTGCCATGATAGCAGAAAGTTTCTTTGTTTGCATCGGTTCCAGTTTTATGTTCATCGATTGGAATCCCAACAATGACCATCTTATAGCAGCTGACAAAGGTCTTTGTATCGTGTTACTTGGAAAATTATTGAATGAGAATTGTGCACCCCTATATTTATGGGTATTGCAACGTCCACCGCAAATGCCTTTTAACAGGTAGTCAAGAAATTGTGGTAAAAATTATTTTGCCTTTTAAGGTTTTTAAAATAATTCTTTAATGGTAATTGATGAACATGTAAACATAGGGAGTTCGTTTAACTTATTAAAAATAATAAGCAATTACATAGATTCGCATTAGAGCCAGTAATACCAACACGTGATATTTGAACATTTCCTTTTCTCGATAATTATCTGTTCAATTTCTTTGATATGTTTATTGTAAACCCCGTGACTCTGACTCTCGTACCAAATTCATTTTAATCCTTGTCTGTCTTATGAAATGTTCTTTTTATTGAGCCTAACAATACGCACGAATCGCTGAATACTTAAAATTGTCAATCAGAATGGTATTATGATAACTTAGTTTATCTTGCTTTTCCTATCACTAATGTTTCCTGCCATATAAACGCACACTGATGGAGCACGTATATTAATGGGGAAAACACTTGTGCTTGCAATTGTCGTTACATCTTAAGTTAGTAAACGTATATTGTTTTTAGTTGCGGCTTCAATTCTGGAGGTATCACTGGAGTGTGTTCCACTTTTCGAGTCACTAAGCGCTTAAACCGTCCACTAAATTGCTTGCGAAATCCTTTAAAGCTGTTTTTATCACTTGAGGCCATCATGTCCTGGAAAGTAGAGAAAAGTGAGTTATTAGTACTGAAAACTAACGATATAAACCGAAAGAATGAATTCATTCGTGTGAGTCTCCTTAATTTTTAAGATTGTTTGCTCTGATTGCGAATTGCTGTTTTTAGCTTATCAGAAACGAATATTTAAAAAAATTTAAAATTCCTGGTATGCGTTGGAATTTTATTTTTAAAGATTATAATTACTTGAAAATGGGGGTTCCTGGAATTAAATACAGTAATTGTTTAATCGAAAGCCCTTTTACGTTTTATGAATATTAGCAGTATACGACAAAGGTGAAAGTGAAACCCGGAAATGGCAAACAACAGTGATTTAGAGTCTAAATTTTAGACCCTTCTCTTAAAGTATTCGCAGACATACGACCCCCCCAAAACGTTAGGATTTATTAACCCCAGCTGACCTGAGTGTGTATGTGCTGTATGCGGATCTTTAATCTTATCGCTAAAATGATTTCTCAAAATAGATCTATTTAATGCCGAGTGCGGCAGGTTTAATGCCCATAATATATTGCCAAACGTCCGTATGTCTGTTCATACTTCCATACATACTAATGATTTAGACGGCAATTGTTGAAGTGCAAACAATTTGTTTCCTCTTTATCTTTCGCCAACACACGAGCGCACAAAGACTAGGAACTAAATATACTATGTACGGTCACCCGTGGAGTATTTAATAATCGTTACGTCATTATAATCTGCACTGCGAAGGAAACATGTGCGAATTGTGGTTGGGATAGTAAAAGAACCATAGTATATCTTTAAAAATAACCATATCATTTTTCACACCATATTGACATGTTTATAATCCCATATCTTAAATGATCATAATAGTATTTCGATTTTTCTTTCAGTGCTGACTTACGGGACTCAGGCAATTGTAGATATGCGGAGTGGGCGCTTTTGGGGGAAAGGTCCACTCCGTTTGATTCGAATTCCCATTCCCGTTCCCGTTGGCGTCGCAAACAGCTGGTGCATTACTGGTCCTCACGAACGTAACGCTCTGGGTTTGTTTGGCAGGTGGTGGTGAAGACGATGATGATGTTGATGAGGCCGAGGCCTTTCCGCTCTGGTCCTTCATTTTTATGTGGTCGTCCCAGTAGCGCGTAAATATATTTTTGGTGTGGACTTCGGCGTTCGGATGCGGATTCGGATGCGGGGTGTTCAGATAGTCGGATACAGAAACATCACGTTGAGAACATTTACTGCGGACAAGACGCATCGTTAATTTCCCAGTGATACCCTCGATCGGTGCTAAGTTAGTTCATTTCGCAAAACTGTTTTTAGGTACACGCGTATCACAGATGGTTTATGTTTTTGTTTTTCGGTTTTCGTTTTCGGGTGCCTATAGCTATAGCGGTATGATATGTATAGACATTTGCCATAGCCTATAGCCTAAATGTCGACCATTGGCGGAAGAGGTTTTCGGTATACTAATGTCTCGCCTGTCTGTGTTTTATTTTCAGGTAGGCGCTACCGCTACCCAGCGTTACAGCGCGACTAGAATATCGATTTTCTGTACATGGGCTGCCGTTTTGGGTGGTGAGTTAGTCATGATGGCTGCGCACTATACTTTTAGCTCAGCCCTACTCCGAAGTTTTGGCCTGCTGGCTCGTTCCTTTGTGTGTTTGCCTTATTGCGACTTCCTTTCGCGAGGAGGTGTATTTATAGGAATGACAATGACACTTTTCATCTTTTCAATGCTAGATATAACTTACACAATATCAATTTTTGCGTTTTCACTAGGAGGCCAAACAGAAGCAGAAGGCAGAAATCAGAAACAGAAACAGACAAACGTGTCGAGTATTTTCTAGTCGTCGTGCAGGGGAAAAATGCGATTAATGCTGGCACTCTTCACTACATCCACAGCCACGCTATGGTTGTGTGTTTGCACATTTTTTTTAACTTTAACTGCTTTACACGTAAGTACACACATTAGTATTTGACTTCAGTTCGGTTTGGCTGGCAACGAGTATCTGAGTATCTGAGTATCTGAATACTGAACTCGACCGACGACTGGAACTGAAACTGAACAAAAGCAAAATATTAATCTGACTCATGTGGCTTGTGCTCTTTGCAGCAACAGCAACAGCAAACGGCCCAGCCAAGCAGCAGTACAACAACACAACAGCCAAAATATCAATCGAAAGTCGGTGCGAATGCTCTCTCGATCTCTCTCCGCTCTCCGGGGTATACCATTTACCGTATATATTCGTGTTCGTATGTACACTCCTCGCTCTTTTCAAGACCTTCTGACGTCAACTGACATTTGGTGAGCACTGTGTTTTCACAAACTCTGGCCAATATGTATGCGCATTTGTAGGAGGACTATATAAATAGCGGGTTTCGAGTGATTTACCCAAGATAAATTAATTGCGATTCCGGGGAATACGCCAACGACTGCGAAACTCCCAAAAAACACGATCGTGAATATTACGTTTTAGGAAACGAAACGCTGATTCGAATGAAGTGTTCCACGCCAAACTATCATCATCGCACTTAAGCAATTGGCTAGATTGCTAGCCGAGTTAGCCTCTGAACTGAGCAGTCCCGCTCTAAATATTTTTGTTTGTTGGCAGGCTAATTAATTGAAACCAATTAAGAGATAGGTATTGTTTGTGCTGTACAAATGAACAATGGATCTTTTGCGATATTAAGTGTTTTGCTTGTTCCGATTCCACCGTTCCTCTGTATAGCTGGCAGATTTTGAGGCGTTAGGAATTGCAATAGTTGAATTTTCGCGCTCACTGTGTATTTCGATTTAGGGAATATTTAAACTCTTTTTTTGTTTTAGTAATAATATTAGGTTTATTTCGATTTATTTTTCGTTTTTGCTGGTTCTGAACTGAATATTTTGGCCACCTTCTTTGTGGCAAATATGACGGCGACCAATGCAACAATACCCAAAGTCGCCAAGGAGGTTATGTTTTCAGATTTGAAATAACTCTGCAGAGGTCCCAAAAATTCGTTTCTGAAAAGCACGAAAGTTTAATAATTAATTAAGGTGTTTTTTTAATAGTTAAATATGTTGTATTAAATTCGATCTTCTGAAACCAGGAACTGTTTAAACCAGGGTAATATTGATTATTGTTTATGTACAAACTATTCAATGGATATTATACAACGGTTACGATTAATACTTGGTTTAATATTAATCAATGGTATAATCAGTGTCTGTGTAGATCACCCTCAATCTGACGTTATATGCAACCTTGCACCGGGGAGTAAAGTTAAATAGTTATAATAATTATAGAAACAATTAGTTTTAAAAGGTCAATCTTGGCTCACTTACTAAAGACATGTATCAGATTCTCACAAATCCCTATAAAAAGGTCATAATCGGACACTGAGTTTAATATTCGATCGAAAGAGATATATTTTAGTAGTACTATGAACTATGAGAATACTTACACGGCACTAGGAATTTGTGGAACTGGTTGAGGATGGCTCTGGGTGAGATATCCCTTCTCCGCAAACTGGACAAATGCCTCGGGACTATATTGCTTGGCCAAATACCTGTACATCTTTCCCTGCCGCAAGCTGTAATTACCAAAGTTAGCATATGTTTCGTAAAGATAACTAAACTAGCACTTACAATATAAATGCCGGTGATTCCAAAGCTCCAAGTCTCTTGGCCGTCGAGATTCCAGACTCCAAGCTGTTCATTCGGGCAATATTTAACTTTCGCTTGAGCTTTCCGCCCACGGATTCCCAGACGGCATAGAGCCGCTGACATACGGTACACTCGGCGGAAGAGCTAGAAGTGGGTGTACATAGTTAGGTATACATGTCTTGTGACGCTTAGACGGCGACCTCAACGCATGACTAATATAGCTTACAAGAAGATAAACCAGTCCCCGGTGGTGGCCCCCGATGAGGCTTGTGTGAGGTGCTCGAAGTTGTCGTCGGAAAGCTCTTTGACCGCTGGCTCCAAGTTGTCATTGAAGAAGTCTAGGATTTCGTCATCGTTTATCTCGCCGTGGTAAAGGATGGGAATTCCGCGCCTGAAGAATACCAAAGCCGGTTCCTTGCTGGGATCGTATATGGAAACGAGATTGCTATCCACCGACTGGACCACAATGGCCGACAAGGTCTCCTCCAACTGGGGATGAATCTTGGTGACCACATTCTCGTACTCCTGGCAGCGCTGGCAATTGTTTTTGTCTGCAATTAAAGGAGTTTCTTAGCCACTAACCGGTGTCAAATGGTCCATATGCTCAATGTACACGTAGGCTGGATTTCTTTTATATATATGTAGGTGCATATAACGAACTTACTGAATAGGACAACCACATTGCTGCTGCCGGTCAGGAGTTGAATCAACTCGGCGTCGTCCACGCGTCGCAGCTCCTGGGCCGCAGCATTCCCCAGGCTTAGACCCAAAATTACCATAAATATGAACTGCAGCATTATCTTGCTGTGTTTGTGGAGGAGCGGACTTGATCACTGGCCAATAAAGCTGATCTAAACTTGGATGCCGAAACAGAGTGAGAGCCCGGCTATCGATAGTCGCTTCATTCATGTATCGTCAACAGTGATGCGAAACATAACAGGTTTTGTTCCTAGGTGGAAAAGTCAGTACAGAAAAAGTACCTAGATAAATATCCAGGCTTATGCATGAAAAGTTGCAATTAATGCCACAATCTCTGTCATTTATTTTTTCGTTCCTAATAAAGCAAATATCCTGTAAAGCCGGAAACTACATAAATTACAGTAGGATTCAAAATTTCATTAAAACTAATACATTTTTTGTAGATTGCAGCTATTAGCTTTTTTTATTAAAAAAAAAAAACACAAGCGTAACATAAATATAATTAAATTTTATTTATAAAAGAAATTTTAACAAATAAATAATCAAATGTAATACAATTTGTAACAATACATTTTTAACTACTTTTGGTATCAATCTATGATCTTCGTCCTTCAAAGTTTTCTATAGAATTTATTACAAAATCGTAAAGATCTTCAATTTGTTGAGCTAGTTTATCTGAAAGAATTCAAGGAATATTATTTTGTAAACTAATCACTTAATTAAAAAACCTTACCCTTATCTGTTTCTACGAATTTACTTTCCATTCCATCGCTGCTCTCTCCAGATCCAGACATCATATCGTCCTTGAAAATATTTTTCAGCTTGGGCAAAACCAAGAGTAAGAAAATCAGGCCAATAAACTTGACAATTTTCTTGAATATCAACAGCTTGAGCAGTATCTTTCCAAGCGTGTACAAGTTGATCTTGGACTTCAGGTGTTCCAGAAAAGAGCCATGTGAGTAGGGAATTGGAAGAGCTGGCTTATAGAAGGGAGGAGGCGGTGGGCCATAGGAAGGATATGCGGGAGGCGGTCCATATTCAGGAGGAGGGGGCAGATAGTTGTTGTTCGGCGGGGGCAGGTAGTTGTTGTTTGGAGGCGGATTATATTGGTATCCATTATTTGATGGAGGCAGGTACTCTGGTGCGGGAGTGGCAGGAGGTAGGTAGTTGTTGTTCGGTGGAGAACTATAGCTGTAGCCTCCACTGTCGTTGCCTAATAAATAAAAAATATAAAATAAGTTATATAATTACAATACACCACTTTTAAGGACATAGGGATAGTTTATAATCCTTATCTCTCCATATCATCTTTTTATTTTTTGCCTCTTAAATGATCTTTATTTAATCCTTTTCTGATTGTATCTCACTGCATTTATTTGAGTAACACAATTGTACGACGGATCTTAAAGATTTTAAATTGTCCTTGAAAAATAATCGTTTAAAAGATTTGTATAGTACACAATGTCCGATTGGATTTTCACATATTTCTTCTATCCTTTGGTAAGTCACGCACCGAAATCCAAAGAATTCGAGTTTTGGATATCCCCGGAGTAGCTATCCGCAGTGCAAGCACAAATGCAGGAAGCGCATATCAGAACGGCAAAGTATTTGTTACGCATTTTTTCGATCGCGTTGAGATATGAATTAAACGGTTCCTAAAAGTACAATAAACGGTTTTCTTGACGACCGCCGCTTTATAAATTTCAAACCGAAAACATTGTTGCAAAGAAAATATCTGGCCGACGCATGTACGTATGTGCAAGTATTTATAACTGCCATTGCTTTTCCCCCGAAAGGTTTGGCCCCTATAGCTATAGGGCATATATGCAGCGGTGAGCTGAAGTTGAATCACTTGTGTATTCTTGCAAGAAATGTGGCTACCGTCTCACGTGCTGCTCAGTATTCATGCTACGTGCAATCGCTTGGATTGTGTTGGAGATTTCGAAAGAGACGCAAAAAGTTCAATACAACTTTCACTACCCAACTTTCAAAAAGCCTGGAAATAGCAACTGCCTATATAGTATTTGCGAGTTTGGGATTTCGACCACCACTTTTTTGACCTATTGTTAAACTCGTTTTGTGGGAATAAACGATTTGCATAAGTGACACAAATTGATGACATTTCAGACAAGTGTTACGAATGTAATACTTTTAAAGACTTTGGGAATACTGGAAAGTTTTACCCGTCATTCATATTATTCCAATAGAAATATGGTATAGTTATAGTTAGTATGCAGCGTCGTAATTAACAGTTTTACGTCGCCGGATATGCTCATAATGTATCCGACGGATCTTCAACTTGGTTAATGTGCCACAACACAGCTTGAATTCGAAACGCATTTATTAGTAGTTAATTGAAGGTACACTGAAAAATTACAAATTTAATGTAAGATATATAATGCTTTTTTAATAGATAATTATTTTAAAATAAAACTGTGTTATTGAAAACGACAGACAAACAACAAAGCTATAATCGACAGTAACTCTTTAATTGATATTATTTTTATTGAGAATCCCACTAATTTAGATACGCATTATTTTATAATACCGGAAGTAACCTGACTTTGATACTTATCTTGTAGACTGGAGTTGTATTATTAGTTTTAAAAACCTGAAAGACCGTAAAGAAGAATAATCAAATGCAGATTTTTTAGGGGAATAAAGAACTAACAATAAAAATATGATTCTGTAAATATTTCAAAAATGCTTTTGAGCTTTGTAGAATATTTCAAATTCCACCGTTTCACAATTCACCATCTCTTTATTTTAAAGCCTGTAGTCTAAAGGTTCTAGCTTACAATAATTCATTTAAAATTCATAACTTTTATTTACAGTCTGTAAATTCTTTATTCTTTATAATATTAATTTATAAAGAATATAAAATTTAAAAAACGAAAACATCGATGAATCCCCGCCAAACATCGGGGCTAGCGATGTTTCAAACATCGATTCCCCCACCGATGTTTCTCCACCTCTACTCAATTAGTATTTACAATTGGAACTATTGGTATTTTTTCGATATCGATATCAGGTGGTCCATTTTGAGAAGTTAATCGATATCAGGTGGTCCACTTTGAGAAGTTAATCGGCGCGCAAAATTATTATTATATTATAATATTATTATTAAATTATATTATTGTACATTATGAACATTTCGCCGTCCGTCTCCCTCGATGTGGTGCTCCCAATCCTGGGCATCCCCTCCCGGAAGGCCGAGCTGATGCTCCAGTCACTGGAGATGAATCCTCTGGCTCTTGGCCACGGGAGCGTGGACCTGAGGGAGCAAATAAGGGACCTCAAGGAGAACCGGAAGCCGTTTTACCTCCATATGGACGAGCTCTTCGCCCCCGAGGTGAGTAATCTCGAGGCGAGGCTATGTATATAGCTATCCTGACCCAATCTAATTCTAGATTTGCAGCAATCCCAAGCTCGGCTGGAAATGCAACACCTTCGCCATCCAGTCCGTAGACGGCCTATACTTCCAGGTCGTCTACGTAGACGTGGTGGCCTCCAACAGCGCGGAACGTTCCAAGTTCCACTTCGAGCGCATTATGAGAAGGTTGGACCAGTACGACTTGACGCGGTTCATGGTGGCGTTTGTGTCGGACAACTGCCCCATGAACGGGTTTTCCCTGGGCAGATGGACGGTGCCGCACCTGTGGGACATCACCCACATGCTGGATTGGTTCCCGCAGGTCCATGGAGTGCTTAACAGGACCTTGGAGCGGGCGTACAACACACGATTTGGGCGGTCGACCTTCCGAGCCATCTTCTCCGACATCAGGCGACGCCTCTACGTGGAGGTGTCTGCCATGGACGCTCACTCCAAGAGGGCCGACGACGTGCAAGAGGAGAGCCTGCGCCACCTGCACTCTATGGAGGCTGCGGTTGAAAGATTTTTCGCCGCCAGCGGGGTCGACACGTTTGACCCCAGGTACATGGCGAACGACACATTGGAGCGAATTGGAAAAAAGTGGAAAAATCGCTTTCAATCATTAATTGCTCCAAACGGTCCCCTGGACGCCGACACATTGACCGTGGAGGGTTCGGAGATCTACCCAAAGGTCTTCGCCCTGCTCGCCTGCGTCGATGGGTACCGCGGCACAGAATCTTAAATGAAAAAGTAAAAATAAAAGTTTAAATAGATTTTATTATTTTTTTGAATTTGGTGGAGTTGTGGGCTTTTCTGTGTAGCAAGAGTGCTTTGTAATCATACAGCTTTGCAGCGCTGGAGCAACCCTGTAATGAAAGAATTGTTTTTATTGTATATCAATGAAATAAATGCTATATTCTGTCTTACCGCGATGTTACACATGTACAATTTTTTGATTTGAAGGACTTTGTGTGCTGCTGCCATGTGGTTGCTATATTGTTTACGGCTTGGGTATTTGAATTTACAAGGAGGGCATACATAGCTGTTATTTTTGTGCACCCCGGTGTCAAAGTGTTTGCGTAAGTTCCTTGCAGTGTCAAAAAGTGCAGGGCAATATTGACATTGGAATGCCTTTAAAAAGTCCCTCGCGTACACCTTCACTTTAAAACATCCCGAATCGGGGTCGTTCGTATGCGATCCATCCAAATGACGTTCGGTTAAGAGACCACAATTGGCACACACGTGGAGCTCCAATACGTTCCCGTGAGCCTTGAGCATATGGCTCGCCATGTCGCTTTTGTTGCGGCAAAATATATACTTTTCGCATTGCTCGCAAAGCCTGTGGCGCTTTGAAGGTTTTCTCTGGCGAGCATTGGTGGGCATAGCTTTGCGCTTTAGGTCAGCATTTGGTACAAATTCCTCGTCTTCACTCGGCTGCTCCACTGTGGCGGGAGGCTGGAGTTGGTTCATTGAAAGGTCCGCTCCATGTGGACTCATTGACCGAGGAGGTTTTCTCTGGCGAGCATTGGTGGGCATAGCTTTGCGCTTTAGCTCAGCCTTATTTGGTACAAATTCCTCGTCTTCACTCGGCTGCTCCACTGTGGCGGGAGGCTGGAATTGGGTCATTGAAAGGTCCGCTCCATGTGGACTCATTGACCGAGGAGGGGTTGGGGGAGCTGGCTGCTGAAGCTCGGGATCACGAACTGATTTTTTGGACCGCAGACAAATGGGGCACATCCAGTTGATTTTAGATTTGTCCATCAATATACCCATAGCTTGTGAGATTTTAACACATCGACCGTGGAACCAATTGTCGCACAGATCGCAACATATCATAAAACGACCGTTATGCGGCTTGCGACAAATGCACCAAAGCCTGTAATCGAAATGGAATGGTTAGAGTTCGTAATACATCTGTCCGGTTCTTTCAAATCTTACTTCATTGGGTCGTTATCATCCAGATCACTGTTTTGTAGGGGGTTGGTCGGCGTCGTGGACGTATTGGGCGGTTCCATTGGGGCCAGGTTTGCAGCCTGACCGATGCTTCTCAGTTGCTGATTTTCCTCTGTAATAATAATAATATAAGTAAATGGGTTAGAAAGTGAATAGAGTTAATTCTTAAAACTTGCTTACTGTCCTTATCCTTGACCTTGTTGTTCTTATCGTTGCCTTGTTCGGCTGTCCTGGAGAGTCCGCTTCGAGACTTTGGAATTGGGAAAAGAGGATCTTCCATCCCATCCGCAGTCGAAGGTTTGGGATTGAATAGCTTCAATGGAGAGCTAGTAGTTGCTGACTTGGGCGTTGGTTCCGATGGCTTCTCCACCGGTGTCAATGTGGTGGTCACCAACGTCAAGTAGGAAGAGTTGGAGGAGCTATCGTTGGTTAGCTTATTAACCAAATCCGCACTGCTCACCGGGGGTCTCTTGCGCACGGCCAACTTCAAGGCCTGATCCGAAGTTCCGTAGGACTTGCGCTTGGCCCTGGGCGACTGATTAGGCGACATTCCGGTGGCGTCATCTGGTGGCACCTGCACTGCTCCACCGCCTGCTCCTCCCTTGGGTTTAACTTTCTCATCTCCGTCCACCTTTGTAGCAGATTTTGGCTTCGTGATTCCGCTCTCGGGATCCGGGATGAAGAGCAGTTCCGACTCACCCGAGGGATCACTAAGGCCATAGGCGTTCTCCGCCTTCACCCGGAACTTGTACCCTGATCCCTCGACCAGATCGTCCAGCGTAGCGCTCAGTGCTCGTGTGGTGGCCGCCTCGAGCCAATTATTCCAGCCCATTCGGAAGTATTCCAGTGTGTAGCTGCCTGTCTTGCAGCCTCCGTCGTGCAGCGGGGCAGTCCAGGAGAGAGTCGCCGACTTGCCAAAGGACATATTCAGTTTGGGAGTGCCCGGGGGATTGGGCCTGGCCGTCGCGGTGACCAGGAAGGAGGTGCTATCCTCGCGCAGCACATTGTCGATCTTGAGCAGCGAGTTCTTTTTAGTGTTGGACATCTAGAATGGTAAGGTGGGGTCACTATTAATATTAATTCTTTTGATATTTAATAAATAAATAAATATTATAAAAAATAAATAAACCATATGATCTATTATATTATTTATGTATAATGCTATTACATACATATGTATATATGTACGTAAGAGTGAAATATTTTTAATTAGCTTACATAGGATTAAGGATTAGTTTTAGAAATGTTAGTAAAGTTTCGAGTTTATGGCAGCTTACCTGGCGTCCACCTGGAGCAATGACCTCGCCCTCGTGGAGCGAAATAGCCGGGCGTGATTGCCCAGCCACGCCCACTTGAAGACGCAGCACCTCATTGTCCACAATCTTGGGCACGGGAGCCCTATCCATCTTCAGGGCCTGATGCGATCACGTTTGGGTTTGGGTTTGCGCTTGTCGGGGTGGTGATGCTGTGATTCACCCGCAATCCTTGTAGCCGATCCGAGACCAACCGAGATCTTTACCTTCACTTGTATGATCGCCGGCGCAGGTGGTCCATTCTGCGGCAGAAACAAAAGAAAAGAAAGAAATCTGATTGCTTGATAAAGCTTGTGAAATGCATTAGGTGGCAACGCTGTCGAAGATCCGTTATTCGTAAACAGTTATATTCCAGTTATATTCCAGTGCAGGTGCGAGTGTCGAGTGTGAGGTGGTGAACTGAAGAGCATGGAGTCTGAGGAGGAAGACACGGTAGGAGTGGTCCTCGAAGACGTTTCCGAGGTGGTGAAGCGCTTCCTTGCCATAAAGAAGGCGCAAAAGGAGTTCCGCAACTTCGAGGAACTGGAATGCGAGGAACGAGGTATTGTATTTAACAGTTAAAAAAGTATTTTACCGTAATTAATTAATTATAATTATATATATACTTACAGAAAATGTCCCAGTATTTGCGCTGATGGCAAATGAGGACTTCGAAGTCACAGAGGATCACTCCTACTCTGCCGGGGTGGTGGATGGTGCCGGGATGGTGGATGGTGCCGGGGTGGTGGGTGGTGACAGGATGGTGGATATCCAGCCCATTTCGCTGAAGCATCTGGTTCCCTTCAAGGAAGGGCCAAATATTCCCAACTCGCAACGTAAGTTTGAAATAAATTGAGCTTAAAGCTAAGTTGTTCATAACCCATTTCATTAGACCTAAAAAAAATTGTGCTAGAAGCCATCGAGGCTGAACGGCGTTTGCCATTCCTCGCCCCGGGTCATCCCGATTGGCGGAGGGTTTTCGTCAAACTCGACCAAAACGCGTTGCGAGGACGAGGGCACCACTATTGGTGGCGCTGGATCAGTAAGTGGCGCTCCACTGCCGCAGTGGCTGCCAGAAAGGGACAGCCTGGCTCCAGCCTTGACGCAAAGATTCTGCAGTACTGGCAGGGACTCGACGAACCGGAAAGGTATTGTATTTTGTTTTTACCTAATATTATTAAATAAAGCTATACTTTCCCTTCCAGAATTCACGGATCAATTCCGCAGTCGTGCACCGGAACGGCAAGCTGCGGATGCCCGAAGCACATTTAATTTATTTTATTTTTTACTTTTATTATTTGTTTTGTTATGTTTTGTTTTGTTTTGATTTTTATTTAATTTTTACTTTTATTATTTTTGTTCTGAATTTCTGACTTTTTGTATAAGTATATTCTAGCCAAAATCCCATCTCTGATTTGTGGCATCACTGGCATCACTGGTGGATGTGTACGTAAGTAAATACACAAATAAGTAAAGTAAATTGGTTAATTTTAATTAAAAATAAAAAATATCAAAACGCCCTAATAGAGCCACCCCTCCCATTAGTGAATAAAATTGTCGCTGATAAAAAGTGAATAAAATTGTTGCATCGCGGGCGAAAGTGGGATCAAATGGACTCAGCACAGGAAGAGGACTCCTGCACGGATGTGTTTCTGGTGACGGCGAACGTTGGCAGCCTGTTCGAGGACGTACGTAGAGCCCAAAAACTAGATGGGCCATGGATTCACTGGGCTAGGAAGTATACATGTTTACGTACGGCCATACATACACGATGCGTAAATCGCATATTTATGTATGGACCCACTGACATAAATATGTGTATCCGAATCCGTGTCCCCAAACAAATTGGTATTCCGAGCGCCCGCCCCCCGATAATCGAATTTCCAATACATTTCGCAGCCCGAGAGGCTTCTGCATCTATGGCTCCACGAATTCCTCGCCAAGATATCGCACGTACAGCCCCGATTCCTGGCCCTCCACCTCCAGGAGGTGGGCGGCAAGACGTACGAGAAGTCCATGGAGTACGTCCAGGAGTTCATCAGGTGCCTCTGCGACGCCCCCGAAATGGGCGACTTCACCTGCGTACACATCTTCATGGACGAGGACTTCAAGTCAGCCGAGCATTTCACGGTGGGTTAATCGTGTTTCTAGGTCAATCGGGCGCGTCGAAAAATGATTGGGATGAGCTCAGGCATTTAAAGCGCCCATTGTTCAATGAGGGTATACCGAAAATATTTTAAAAATTGTAATTAACTCGCTGGGTTTAGTCATGATGCGATGACTCTTTTATTTCATTCATCAACAAACATCAAACTAAGTGGGAAAAATATTTTTGCATCATCTTTATTTTGTAAATATTTATTTATTTATATTTATGTATATTCCATTTTTAGGCCCTGGGAAGTCTATATTTTGTCCAAAAGGATGTCACTTCCTTGAAAATATGGAATTTCCTAACCCACAGTTGGGAAGAAAGTCTTCAAGATATACAAGATAAACATATCTATTCCGGAAATATTGAAACTATTGCCACCAAGGAAAAGTCCAAATTCCCTCAGCATTTCTTTCCGGAGGTAGGTTTTATAAATGTTACCAAGTATTATTATTAAATATTTAATTTTGTATCGTATTTGATTCAGTGTAAATGGTCCCGCAAAGGTTTTATGCGAACTCGATGGGAAATCAATGGCACAGTCATCGATCTAGTCAACATTCACTTATTCCACGATGCTTCCAACTTGGCAGCATGCGAAAATTTTCCCTCCGTCTATTGTAAAACTCGCAGAAGAGCCTTAGTACATACTATTGAAAGGTAACTTTTAATATGAATATCTAAAAATAATATTAACTTGAAACGCTTGAAAACAGGTTCCATTTGGACGAGCAGAATGGCACTGTGCCATTTTTCCTCTTTGGGGATTTTAATTTTAGATGTGACACTGAAGGCGTTGTGAAAGTAAGATTACTAGATGAATTATTAAACAGAAATTTAGTAAACATTTTTTAATAGGAATTAACTGAAAACTTGACCCCTCATCGCGTTCAAAATGTCAAGAATGAAAACGATAAGATCCATTATCGCAACTCAACTGGAAACAACGTACTTACCGTTGGAAAAAAAGAATTTAGTCATGCCGACCATCAACTCAAGTTCAAAGAAGACTGGGTAAGTTCTCCAAAATTTGTTCAACTAAATAAGATGACAAATATTTGCCCATTTTTAGCTAAAGAAATTTGACAGAGAACTGGAGCCACTTAAAGACGTCCTAGTCGAATATCCCATTAAGTTCGTCCCGTCGTATCCCTTCGAAGAAGACCCAGAAATGCCCACCGACTACATGTCCACTCGCTGTCCTGCTTGGTGCGACAGGATTCTTATGAGTCCCCAGGTCCATGAGATTATTCGCAGCGATGATTGGACATACGGAATGATCGGTGAAGCGGTCTGCATGGGCGACCACAAGGTAAGGTCGCCTAGAAACCATTCAATATTTCATTCCCCTTTTTAATAACTACAGGAGCGATCTAAAATTACTTACAAATCTCGATTGCCTTCCACCACTTTGCACCACTTTTGATAAATATTCTTGCTCTTCGCTATTAGAGGCTTCGTATTGTTTCCGAATGTCTTACACAAAAACCGGCTGTTTCTAATTCTGCTTCCATTCCTAACAACTCTGTTTTTCTACGGCATGGTGTCGCTTAGTCCACTTGTAGTGCGCTTACTATACCCTCTTAAAATGATCTTTAAACTATATAGAACTTAAACCAACCAGGTAAAATCACCACTTAACAATTTCAGATGAATCTGCAAGGATATTTTAAGGCTTCGGTGCATCGAAGTTAGTTTAAAGTTGTTAAATTTGTAGAATCAGCATACGGTTAGTCGAAATCATAGGAAACTCATATGTATATACCATTTTCGATGGTATCTCTTCCACTTCAATCGGTCTAATGAATATTATCTCTTCTTTTTTGTCATGTAGCCTGTTTACTTAACTGTCCGTCTTAAACCAAACAAAGGTACTTATAGATCTTGTGATTGCAACTACACGAATACTTACGCCAAACCCAACGACATCTCAACATCACCGCTGCCCGCATTCAAACTGAAATACTGTCCCTATTCAAATAAGCTCTTTGAGGATATAGCCACCGGTTCCAAGTTGTTGACCAACGAAACGGAGGCTCGCAATGTGTACAATTCCCTGAAAATCAATCAGGACGCGAACGAGGAGGCGAGCAAAACGACGACTGGCTCGAATTTCCCGAACATTAGTATTAACATAATTGATTCCGATAATATTTGCATGTGCCTGTGCGCCCATCTCTCTAGCAACAGTCTGCTGCAGTTTGACGACTGCCAGCGAACTGGCGAGGCCATTTGTCCCATGTGCCGGAACATAATCAAAAGGCAGCCGGCGGGGCATCGCTATAAGTTGCTCTCCAAGCGTCTGATGCTAACGCAGGATATCATTATAAACCGCATAGATACGCAGCACTTGAGCACCGACTCTGAGCGGCTGTACGAGGATCCCTACACGCCGGAGAGCACCGAGTCGCACTCTCCGTATCCGGAGGTCACTAGCTCCTGCACCTCCACCTCGAGCAGTTCGCGCAGTCCGCTGGAACGCAGATTGGCGCCGGATAGGCTGGCAGAGCAAAAGGCGGGCGATTCGGATATATCGCCCTGTCCCGAGGTGGCGATTTCGGTTGCGGAAAAACCCTCGCGGGGCACCGTAACTCCCGGCCAGCTGAAGTCACGGCTAGAGAACCTAAAGCGCTTATCCCTCAAAGACGAGGTCGAGGACGAGGACACAGTTGATGCGGCGGAAGCGGGTGATGTTGAACAAGTTGACGCTGTTGGCTCCCCAAGCGCTGCTGCTCCAAAGCGCCCAACAAAACGCAGTTCTAGTGTTACTCCTATGTGTTGTACTATCCACTAATTCCAGTTTTTTTTTCGTTATTTTGATTTATATTGAGTTGTTAAGAAAGTATTTTAAAACCAGCGATTAAAATACCGCTTGTTAAAACGCTATGCATTATTTTATACTTATTTTATGTAGTAAATTCCCCTCTATCTGCATGCAATTGAAACCCGTTTATTTACCAAAAAGAAATTACGGCTATGTTTAAGTCTTAGCTTCAATATTTTTATGTTATTTATGCAATTATCCTAAGTAATTGAAATCTCTAATCTTTGAAACTCACTTTTCTACATTAATATCGTCGTAATTTTGACCAAATGCTTTAAAAATCTTTGAATTTACGCTGTGTAAATATGTAATATATCGAGCGATTGTAGATTTAATTTGTAACTTCTGTGCATTTTAAGAGCCATATCGAAATCTCTTTAACCCATCTGATGTACTCTGTTCCTTTTCGCAGTAGCCGCGATCAGCTTAAGCCCGTGTATTTGAATCTGTGTTTTAAATATGTATATTGTTTATTGTGTTCGTCTTGTTTAAGAAAAAATAAATTACTTTTTTTACCTCACTTGTCTTCTTTTCTTTTAATTTGTATCTTATACTTTTTTTGGGCGAAAGCGCCAATCTTTTTCAGTTCATTTTTCCGCCTAACATCAGAGTTGCAAGCCGACCGAAATAGATGAAGAGTGCGGCTTGCAGCCCAGTTTTTAAGTACCCCAAAATCCTGTAATCTTATATTTGTATTCTTGTAGGCCCCGCGGATCCCACTGGTGCTTCCCAGTTGCCGGAGAGCCTTTCGAACTTGGTGAATCAGGCGCTGAACGACGACAGCCTGTGGATGGAGCAGTCCGTGGTGGACGATTCGAGTGCATCCGTAGCCAAATCGCGCTACATCTTGATGAAGAAGGGCACCACCAGTCCGTGCAAGGAAGCACCTGATGAAGATGCCGGGGCCTTGGACATCAAAAGCGACGGTCTGGAGAGCGAAAGTGCCATGCTGCTGAAGGAAACAACCGTCTAAAAGCTTCAGATCTTCTATCAACTGTAATGCCAGCTGAGCCAATAACTTGTACCGTGTGGTTTTGTGTTATATGTACCTGTTATGTTAAACGCGTCCAATACGAGCTATTTATTTGTCACACACCGCCAAGAGATGTGGAAAGCAGTCGCAGTAATAAATAATACATACGTGGTAGTTGCATTTATTTCGGAAAAACGTTCAAAAGATGAGGAAAATGAGGAAATCTAAACCACGCACGAATTAAGACTACGGGGGGCTGGGCGAACTATTCGATGAGTTTTTTGGCTTTGAAGTACCTGCGGAGGTACAGAACCTGCCACGTCGCCAAACCCAAAAGGCAGCACATACTAAAGATGCTGAAGAACAGGACGCGGCTGTTGGTTTTCTCTGTGGGAAGAATTAGATTTACAAATTAGATTAGTTATATAGGTATTTTGGTATAAAACATACCATTCGTATCGCGCATTTCCTCCTCCCGCTTGCGCATAAGAACAAAGTCCCGCACAATGGAGTCGGAAAGGTCCTCCAAACGCTTAAGATCAACTTCCAGGGGCTTCAGCTTGGAGGCCTCACCAATCTATTTAGGGGCAAAGAAATGCAAGTCATTTAGGAGATAAGATCTATGGGCTTGATGGGACTTACGCCTTCGTAGCTCTTGGTTTCCACACCCTTTTTCGTCTGCAGAGATACTTCCTGAACAATGCCGCGTTGGTCTGTGGAAAAAGGTGGGATAAATTTGGAAGATTAATTGATATGATCAGTTTGAGGATTTAAAATAATCTGATGATTCTATAGTATAGAAATTAAAATTAAATTTGATTTAAAAAAAATTCTTCTGATAGGTTTTGAACTCTTGTTTTTGTCATAAAAACTGAAATAATCTGACGTGTACGAAAGGTAATGAGCTTAACTAGGCTGGTAACTTACGTGCAGGTACTTTGGATATGAAGCAGATCTCGTAGGCGTCGTACACCTCGGACATGAAGCTGAATTTGCCCTTGGTGATGTGCTCCTTCTGCGACAGGATGTGTCCCTTGGTGTCGCGAGCCTGTTGGGGGAAAAGCCCGTGTTAAATCCATGGGAAAATACATATATGATATAAAGAAAACTCACTATGTAGTCGATGATCTGGCCGGGCACGTCGGAAACCTCGTACTCGCCCATCACCAGTTGGTTCGCCTGGATGTCCTCCTTGAGGCACTTCTGGGTGTTCGGCGTCAGCTTGAACATGACGGCGTGGCTGCCCCAGGCACAGGCCATCAGTAGGCACACGATGAAAGCCGCCCTCGCCATAGTTCGCAATTTAAATCCTATAAAATCTACGGCTGACAAGATGAGGTGGCTACTTGGTAGAGATGAGACGCAGGGCAATATCGATGGATCTATCGATGGCTCCGATTGTATTCCAGTTCCAACTAGTTCCAATTGTCAGCTCAAAAATGCTGCCAACAGGGGCGCTTTCGTCGCGAAATCAGTTCCCCCTTCCGCCACTTTGGCGCGATCGAATGTTAGATTTCACGGTTTTCTAACAGAAATGTTAAGATACAACGTTTTCTTACATTGGCAGAGCAGCGTCAGAGGACTAACAGTTCTGCCAATGTAAGAAAACGTTGTATCTTAACATTTCTGTTAAAAAGAGAGCACAACTAGAGCTGGGATGGTTAGCTATCGATGATTCCTGAACTGGGGCTGCAGTATTTTTTGCGGGATCGATAGGCAGGCGGTGAAAATGAAATTATGATTTTGTTCTTATTTAGGGAATAGTTCGCAATTTAAATCCTAAAAGATCTACGGCTGACAAGATGAGGTTGCTACTTGGTAGTGATGGGACATAAACGATGTTTACTCGAAGCTATCGATGTGTTCAGAACTTTGGCCACATTAATAATAGCCTATTTTATTTATTACGCATTTTTTGTTTTCCGCAATTCCATGACACATCGTGATCCTGTCCTTCATGTCCTCCATTTCCAGGCACTTTGACCTAAAGCCTAGTACTCAGTACGACGAAAACTGCTAGCTAAGCATAGGAGTAAGCGAGAGGCAAATAGGTAGCTAAAGCCCTTAGCCGGGGACTTTTTTCACCGCGGTACTCAGTTGAGCTAAGGAAATAGTAAGAAAATACCACTAAAATACTAGATTTAGCGGATGAATTCTGATGAACGCCTTTAGCCGCGGCCCAAAGAATAAAAAATTTGATCTTTGGCTGTGTTTGTGCAGAAGCGGTGTGCCAATAACATATTATAAATAGATTGAAAACCCCAAAAACCAATGGAAAACTGCCTATAGGAGTTGCAGCAATACATATCCTCATTCCAACAGCAAATTTAAAGCTTGCGACCTAGGTCGGCTAATCATTTTGTAATATTTCAAAATTGGCGCCAGTTAATTTGCTTGCTGAGAGTAAGACCATTCTACATGCATTGCGGATGAACTCCGAAAACTTCGGTCACCCTAAAATATTAATATTTTTCGACTAGTAAAACTCTTAGCCGAACTGAGTACTAGGCTTAAAGGTCTGTCTCTTTTTGGTGATTGCCGCAAAAAATACTAAATATACTAGATGAAACAGTTTGGGAGAGAAACCTCAGAGATTGACGGTGGAATGTATTGTAGGCAATAGGCACTGTGAATAGACTATAGTTTACCTAAAAGCACCGATTAATACGGGTAAAACTACCTTAAAATTCAAAAAATTTTAAAATTATTTTGAGAAGAAAATTTGAATTTTATGAGTTAAATTAAACATTTTTAAAATGCCCAATCGATAGGTTAGTGGTGTAGCCCTGATATGTTTGTAACTGGTATGTGGTGTTAAAAAATACCAAAGTTCAAAAAGTTTACAATTGATTTTTATTAAAAATAGATTTCAAAGAACACAATCTTTATTTCAGTTTTTCAAAAACCTTATATAATCACTTTCCCCCAATCTTCCCATTCAAACCGATAACCGTTACTCTAGTGTTGCAAACACCGCTTTTGTCTGCGCAACGCCGTCGCCAGGAATACGCGGCTCCGGAAGCGTTAAGAATTCTGCCAGTGTATTGGTTAATGTGCGTGTGGTGTCAGTGTATGTGGTTCTTTAAGTAAAAAATATATCGGAGTTTGTAAAAACTTTTAAGCAACAACTTCCGCCTGCCTTGTGTTTTTATATCATTTATTTTAAAAGGGGTAATATAGCGGCCAGCAGCGAACCGCATCGGCACCGCAGTACTAAGCCCTTTCCTATTTGCAGGCAAAAAGTGCAGCAAATGTCCGTGGATCAGGTAATTGTATTTTGCATACACACACATGTACATATGCCCGATTCGATTTATGTCGGGATTTCTGCAGGAAGATTTTTTGTGCTTAAATCGCCGTCTTTGTGTACACCGCAATGGTGGATATATAGTACATGCACGGCCATAAAGTTATTAACCTGCCGCGTTGTTTTTGTTTTCAGATGAAAATACCAGGAAACACAGGTATATAACCTACCACCACAGAGACAGGGAGCGTTTTCCCATAGACAGGAACTACTTTTCGACAATCCGACTTTCGATTTCTCGCTTTATGTGCGGTTTTAATGCAATTTTCTCTGTTTACCATGCCCCATAATGCAGCTAAATCGGTCGAGGAGCGCAATATACCATGGAGCCAGCAAGTCGATGAGGCCTCTTACGAAAATCTATCCTCTCCCACTCACGATGAAGTCGTCTCTGGTGAGTTCTTTGCCCCATAACTATAACTATAACCATCCTAACCTTTTCCAACGATTGCTATCCCCCGCAAGTCAATGAAAACTTCATGCAATTCCAATATCCGCCGTTTAACTTTAAGGAGAATTGCAACACTCCATGGAATAATATGAACAAGGGCCGAAAAGCGAACGCCAACCATGGTATGTATAGTTGTTTTCTCACCCAGTTCCCAGTTCCCGTGCTCATAGCCATCATCATAGTGTGCAATCGTTCTCGCTAACTGGTTTTTCGACTCTGCGAATATGCATAAAAGTCGGTGCATCGGGAAGTCGATTAGTCCGATTAGCTTCCGATTGGATTTCGTTGGGGGTTATACTTACTAACTGATTATATTAATATCGCATCATCAAAGATCGCCAGATCGAGATATGTGTCTACGGTCTACTGATTATAAATAGTTTAGTATACATTCAAGCGATCATTTCCGGGAAGCTAAATCCAAGTTTCTGGATTTTAAAAGGAATATTTGAAAAATATTTTAATTTATAGATATTTTATCCTCCCAAAATTTCGATCTATGTAGAACATTAAGTGTCCTTAAGCTACGTTCTACTGATTATAAATGGTTCAGTATACATTTAAGCGATCATTTTCGGGAAGCAAAAGCCTAGTTTCTGGATTTTTAAAATGAATATTTGAAAAATATTTATAAATATTTTATCCTCCCAAATTTTAATGTATGTAGAATAATAAGTGTCGTGATTATAAATAGTTTAGTATACATTCAAGCGATCAGTTTCGGGAAGCAAAAGCCTGGATTTTAAAGGGAACATTTGAAAAATAGTTTAATTTATAGATATTTTATCCTCCCAAATTTCGATGTATTAAGCTACGTTCTACTGATTATAAATTGTTCAGTATACATTCAAGCAATCACTTCCAGGAAGCAAAAGTGTGGATTTTAAAAAGAATATTTGAAAAATATTTTAATTTATAAATATTTTTTCCCAGCCATATAATTTATTTCTTCTAAAACAATATTTTCAACATCAGCTTACACTATTTACTATTAGCAAAGTTACTGCACACCAGTATCTGTGGGGTTTATAAATATTTTAGAATCATTACCTTCTATAAGAAGTCCATATTTGTTTCTGTATTTTAAAGGGAACATTTGAAAAATATTTTGATTTATAGATATTTTTTACCAGCCTAATAATTTATTAATTCTAAAACATTATTCTCAACATCAGCTTACATTATTTACTATTAGCAAAGTTACTGCACACCAGTATCTGTGGGGTTTATAAATATTTTAGAACCATTACCATCTATAAGAAATCCATTTTACCTTTGCTTTCAAGATGTCCTCAGCCCAATCCTCTGCAGCCATGTTCTTAATAGCCGTTGTCAAGACCTTTTGGAGGTTCTCCGCTTGCTTCTTGAAGATGTAGATTATTTCGTGGGTGGTGGCGTTCGGCTGCTGGGCGCACCAGCACTCCATGTTGGTAACGAGGCCCAAGGAGGCGTACGGGATGCCGGCCTCCTTGGCCAAAATGGCCTCGGGACAGAGGGTCATGCTCAGCAGATCGGCGCCCCACTTGCGGAACATGTTGTTTTCGGCCACCGTTGAGTAACGAGGTCCTTCGAGGGTCAAGACAGTGCCACTCGGCCGGGTGGGCATCTCCAGTTCCTGGGCGGCATTCAGAAGATGCTGCCTTGTGCGTTCGCAAAAGGCGGGATTCATGGGCACGTGGCAGACGCCCAAGGGACTGCCGACAGCTCCGTCGTAGAAGGTCTGCGACCGCCTACTCGTATAATCGATCACATCGTGTGGCACCACCAAATGTCCCGGCTGGAAGTTATCCCTCAGCGAGCTAAACGTGTTGGTCACCAGAATGTGGGTGCAGCCCATCTTGCGCATGGCCCACACATTGGCCCGGTAGTTAATGTTGCTCGGCATGATGTCGTGGTTTCGGCCATTTCGGGAGAGCAGCGACACATTCACGCCTTCTATCTGGCCATCGATGATCACATCCGATGGTTTTCCAAATGGCGTACACACCGCATATTCCATGCGCTCTGCCAAATAGATGGGCTTGTCCAGATTGGCCTCCCCAATTATGCCTATTTTTATGGGAATGGTGTCTTTTTCCAGGTCGCTGGTTACCTCTAAATCCCCCTCCATTAAAATCGTAAATTTGGATAATTTTTTCTAAAATGTGTTTGCCTAGACATGAAATTAAAAACGAAATGTAATTTCAAGTTGCCTTGCCTCCTTAAATTTGTAATAACGCATTTCTTATAATTAGACATCGGATTTCAGGTGAAATCGTTTTTTTTAAATATTATTTAAAGCCACATTTGATTGGTTAAACATTTTTTACGAAAACCCCAATTAAGTTTGGCCTAAATCTAATTATATCTTAATAAATAAAATTTGTAACCAATCAACTGTGGCTTTAAATCGTATTTTAAAAAAAACGATTTCACCTAAAATCCGATGTCAACTTATAATATTTTAAAAGTCAAGGTCCCTAAAGATGTATTATTGGAATTAAAAAGTAGTTTAAATTCTTTAACCTTTGAACAAGTTCCTTGTAATTTTATTTATTTATTATTTTAGATAGGAAACTGATTTATTGTTGTTCACAATATTTTTAGATTCATATAAAAGACATGGACATAGTATTCCCAACAACACACGACGCGAAGAGCACCAAGTAAATCCGTGGAATTCCAGAAAACCAGCAGCACAGGTATAATAGAATTATAAATTCTTAATAATATTAAATCTATTTTATTATATTATATATTCAAATATATTAACACATTTCCTATGCAATTCTTCAGTCGATTCGAAATGAGAACGACCACCCAAAGCTGGACAACAGAACAAGCGATGAAGCACAAAATCACGAAGTTGTCGCCGCTCCCAAGAAGACAACCTGGGCCTCAATTGCCTCCCAGCCGGCTAAACTAACATCCAGAGTGAGTAAACACCTTTGGCCTATCATATATCCTGTATTAAATTAAATTATTATGCTCGCAGGCAGCGTCCACCACTTCCAATAATAAGAAAAAGGGTCCCGGCATGCCGCCACCACCAATGGTTCCAGGAAAGCACAATCTAGATGTCAACGTATGGGACTTGCCGAACAATAAACCTCCTCCCGTACCTTCTCCTCCCTCGCCAATCGACTTGGGCTATTCCGACTTGAGCTCTGACTTTTCCATATCGCACGGCAACACAGCAGCAGCCGCGGCAGCAGCAGCAGCACCGCCATTGGGCGCCACACGAACCGAGAAGGTTCACAAGGACACGGAGAACTTCCAGAAGTACGAACACAAGGGACTGGGCAGCAACAATAATTTCAACAGGCCCAAAATCTCGCCCACGGGCCCCGTGCGCAGGAATCTGGGACCCCAGCAGCAGCCACCAGTCCAGCACCATGCAGCCCCTCGTCCAGCGACCAATGCAGGTCCACCATTTGGCCCGCCATCCAACAATAGGAGGCACGAGGGTGTGCCACATCCAAACAGCCGCAACCCAGAGCGAAACTACAACAGTTTCCGCAGCAGCGAATTTGAGAATGCATCATCTAAGTTCGGGGAGTACCGGGATGAGAACCAATCACGACCGGTGGAAGCCACCACATCTGTGACCGAGGAGGTGCCTGTCGATCCGCAGCTTCTGTTGGACGAATTAAAAGACAAAAACAATTACAACCCCAAGGTGGTGGACTTGAACAAGGCCACGGCAGCCAGGTAAACCAGATATATGTTTAAAATAATACAGGGTTCGTAAAATATTCCTCACAATCTGTCATTTTGCTTAAATATAATAATATCAACACAGGGCGGTGATATTTGTGAGCCAAGCAGGGCTGATGAATATTTTTCTGGTAAAAATCTCAACTGCTTTATACTGATTTTTCCTCGAAATATTCCTCTCATTTTTGACATTTTGTGAGGAAAAAATGAGGAAAATAAAAACGAAAAATGGCTACTAAGACCAAGTTTTATAAAAGTTTTTCTTTGTATTATCTAGACTCTAATAATCAAATTATATGTTTTTAAACACAGGTTACATTTTTTGCATCTTATGATCAAATACTTTATTTCTGCCCATTGAAATTGAACGCGCTTTTAAGTTGCCGGTGCTATTTGTCTTTGACTATATATATCACTCGTGAGGTATATTTATACCCTTGCAGAGGGTATTATGATTTCAGTCAGAAGTTTGCAACGCAGTGAAGGAGACGTTTCCGACCCCATAAAGTATATATATTCTTGATCAGCATCACTAGACGAGTCGATCTAGCCATGTCCGTCTGTCCGTCTGTCCGTCTGTCCGTCTGTCCGTCTGTCCGTCTGTCCGTCTGACCGTCTGTCCGTCTGTCCGTCTGTCCGTCTGTCTGTTTCTACGCAAACTAGTCTCTCAGTTTTTGAGCTATCGGGATGAAACTTTCCCAAAAGTCTTCTTTCTATTGCAGGTAGTATATATGTCGGAGCCGACCGGATCGGACAACTATATCTTATAGCTCCCATAGGAACAATCGGAAAAAAAAAACTTTAAAAAATTCTAACTTCGGTGTTTTTTGAAATATTACCTTCTACTTTTGGGGATGTTATTTTTTTAATATTTCTGAATTTCGAATTAATTATTTAAAAAATCGGACGACTATATCAGATAGCTGCCATAGGAACGATCGGAAAATTAATGGAAAAGTAATAGGAAATAAATTCTAGCTTCTTTGGTTTTTATTGTATTATCTTCTACTCTAGGATATGACTCTTTTTAAATATTTCCGAATTTCAATTTTAATTTAATCAAAATCGGACCACTATATCATATAGCTGCCATAGGAACGATCGGAAAATTAATGGAAAAGTAATAGGAAATAAATTCTAGCTTCTTTGGTTTTTGTTGTATTATCTTCTACTCTAGGATATGACTCTTTTTAAATAATTCCGAATTTCAATTTTAATTTGATCAAAATCGGACGACTATATCATATAGCTGTCATAGGAACCATCGGAAAATTAATGATAAATATTAGAAAATTGAACATTTTTGCGATTTGTTAATTAATAGGAATGATCTGCAAGGGTATATAAGCTTCGGCTGGCCGAAGCTAGCTTCCTTTCTTGTTTTTCCTCACTTTTTCATCATTTTATTTTCCTCAGTCATGATGCATATTTTTCGATCAGTGTATACAATTTGTTTGTATCGTGATTGAAATATATTTATTTTCTTCACAGTCTTCACAGCCTTGTTTTTCAGGGATATTTAAAATAAGTGATGTTTACGAAGTTCGTAATACGAACCCTGAAATAATATTTAATACTTAATTAATATTAATTTTTCCTCCTGTAACGCCTCTCAGGTTCTTTGTCATCAAATCGTATTCCGAGGATGATATCCACCGCAGTATAAAGTACGAAATTTGGTGCTCGACCGACCACGGCAACAAGCGGCTGGACGACGCCTTCAAGGAGCGCCACAAAGAGGGCGGCAACATCATGCTGTTCTTCTCGGTGAACGGTTCGGGTCACTTTTGCGGAATGGCACAAATGATGACGGCCGTGGACTACAACTCAACGTCGAGCGTCTGGTCGCAGGACAAGTGGAGGGGCAAGTTCAAGGTGAAATGGATTTATGTGAAGGATGTGCCCAATGGCAAGCTGCGCCACATTCGACTGGAGAACAATGACAATAAGTCGGTGACGAACTCGCGCGACACCCAGGAAGTGCCCAACGACAAGGGCATCGAGGTGCTGCAGATCTTGCACTCGTACAACCACTCAACGTCCATCTTCGATGACTTCTTCCACTACGAAAAGAAGCAGGAGGAGGAGGTATCCTCCAAGCGTCCGCCGGCCATGCACCTGCCCGATGGCAACAACCAGCAGGTGCCGGCCCCCCTTGCCCGCAGTTTCAACCGCCAGGCGGACGACAAGGACAGGGATCGGGATGTCCGTGATGTCCGCGGCGGTGGCATGTCACAAAATAAGCACTTTAATGCTGGAGGAGGAGCCGGTTTCCGTAATCCAGGTCACAGGGGCGGCGGCCCCGGGTCGCACAGCAACTACAGCGAGTATCGTCGGGGCGGCGACTATCAGTTCAAGGACCGAGACGGCCCGGACTTTGACAGAGAAAATGACTTTGGATCGCACTACGGATCCAATAACCGAAAAAATGAATATCAACAGAACAATGCGAACAACAAGGCCAGGTTAAAAACCCCCCGTGATCGTGATTTCAGTACTGAACAAATTAAAATCGGCGTGCGCTTTAAGGTGGGTGGTTTGTCCGCCTTTCGATGATTTTTAATAATTAATTCCCTTGTTTCTCTTGCAGGACACCGACAAGGATAAAATGCGAAGCAATGAATATTCATAAACTTACTGAGCTGCGGTAGAATTCGTTTTTTAAATGATATTGAATGGACTCCCACAATCCGTTGAATTGCTTAGAGACGTTAAATTATAATTTTTAGATTTTTTAACCATTGCGTGTACAAGATAAAATCCCGATTCATGAAGAACATATAAATCAAATCGAGCATGTGGGAACTAGGATTAATGATTAAAATATGATAACATTTTTACGTAATTATTTATTACAATATTTATATAAATCTATTGACGCTCACATTGAACAGTTCATAAACAAATTAATGATCGATTTTGCCGATATATACAACATTTATAAACACCAAGGAGTCTGCTTCAGCCATTCCTTGTAGTTGCACTGTAACAATTTATACAACTTATTTGAATCTAAAGTGTACACGACTTATGTATGTATAATATAATTAAAGTAACCAATCCATCATTTACTCATTGACTAAATTACCAGCATCTCTTGATATAAATCCGCTATTTGATAAGAGATTGTTCAGAAATTCCCGTCAACGACAAGCATAAAATAGTATTTTCTAATTAATACTTACAAGCAAAGCAATATGGGCCGAATATTATTACTTTCACAGCGCTATCCAATAATTATACGTTAGTGGAAGACTGAAAAAGTATAATAAACACAAAAGTCATGTACGTAACAAAATTAAACCCTGCAAAAGATGCAAAAACATAAAGCGAACTCATACTCTAAAACGCAAAAGACTTATTTGATTAATACGCTATTATTTTTAGTTTAAGAGAAATGATAAAAATATGAAAAGTTTGGTCAAAATCAAAAGGAAGTTTTGAGGATGAGATTTGGTTAAGGGTTTTTAAAGAAAACAAAGTAATTTATTTGAAGGGTGAACGGTTTTAAAGATCAAATGTGAATTAATCTGGTAAGTAATTCGTTGAGGTTTAAGAATATTCAAATTTATCCGGTGAAGGATCGTCTAGAATGTTTTTCCGTTCCGAAAATTTCCCAGTTGGTCCACCATTTAAATTTAGCGGGCTCTTTTATGAGATAGTTATGCGATGTTTTTTCGGTGCAACTCTGAATTCCTATTGACTGTGAAAATTGGAACGATGACTACTAGAACAATTTAAATCATTGGCGGGAAAAAATTTTTAACTCATTGATTTTTGGCTCTTGTTAATTTTGTAGTAATTTCTTGGTAGCGGAAAAGCATTTGTTCTACGAACGAAAACATACTGCGATAAAATTTAACTATTTAAAAACAACGAAACTTCAGATACCCTTACCGTCAAAATAAAAACGTCAAATTTACTCACTTTTACATAACTTCATTTATTGTAGTTTACGAATTTCAATATATATAATTTATATTATAAGTAGAGTATATATGTATGTATTTTTTGTTTTGTAAAGCAGGAAGTTTTAGGATTCGCATGAGTCGCACCTTTGGTGCCCACAAAAATCGTACATTTTTCGTTTGCGTTTTTTTTTGTAGTTTTTCTTTACTATACATACAACATTTATGTACTTAAAATGAACACACACATTTAGCTATATAATGTATACATAATAATATTCAGTTACTTCATGTCTTCCAAAAGAGAGGTACTAACTTATTGAATAGAAACAAGTGAATCAAGAAAGCGAAAAGTAAAACACAAATTTTGTCTCCTTTAGGACAATGATAAAATAAAAATGGCACAAAAGTAAAGTTCCGCTGGGAAGGCCGCGAAATGCAGACGGGGATCGAGCGATCGAGCGGACTTAGGTGAAGCTGTACTGATTATCGACGGCCCGTCCGGTGCACTCGGCTCCCCCGCTGGATCCCGATCCGCCTCCGGTTCCTCCTCCGCTATTGTTGCCACCGTCGCTGGGATGCCGATTGCTGCCGGAGGATCCCGCCGCCGGATGATGGGCGGCGGCGGCCTGCAGGGAGGCGTTCGAGGCCCGCAGATGCGGCTGGTCCAGAAAATTCTGGCCCGCCGGCGGTGATCCGTGCACGGTTAGCGTTGTGGGGTCCAAATGGAAATAGACTTGCTCCGGAAAATAGACGTGTGTTGGCTCCTGTGGCAGTTCGATTTCATTTGTCTTTAGGCGAACACTCAGATTCATGGTAATCACTTCGTTGCACTGTTGATCGGGGAGATTGAAACAGGGGGCATTCATTAGTCGGGTTGGCTTTTTCGAGGCGGTCTGGGGGTGTGTGGTGAAACATGAAGCATGCGACAATCATAAATCATTCAAACTAAACACAGAAACTAAGTTAAATATGTAAATTACTTGACTTACTAGCAATGACCGTAAATAATCGTTATTTGAGATTTTTATTTTAAAAGGCCTACTGAGATTTCTACGAGTTTTAATCAACAATTTAACTGGTTTTTATGCACTTTATAGACATGAACAAAAAACAGTTAATTTGCTTTTCAGATTTGTTGATATTCATCTATTAAAACAAAATATCACAGTAGTCTTTTTAAAATAAAAATCTGAAATAACGATTATTTACTGTTCCTGCTTACTAGACTTTTAAGTGGAAATTAAATCAAATTACAATTTAGTATATGGATTTCAGAAGAAACTGTAGAGAATTTCAAACTTTAACTTTCTTTTAAATTAAAATAATTTGTTTTTAATTCCTATCCGCATTTATATTCAACTATACATTCATCAGTTCACAGTTCAAACCCCATCCCAGTTGCAATGAAATGATAAGAACTTAACAGAAATCAAAGTAAAATAAAAAACCATCACTGACACTGAATTGACTCCAAAATTTTGGCTATCTCACATGTCTCGGCGACGGATGGCCACCGCCAGCAGCTCCCGATGCAGCTCCTCCGGCCGCATTTGATGCCGCAGATGATCCCTGGCCATTATCGTAGCCATTTCCATTCCCATTTCCATTGCCGTTCGTCGACAGATCGTTTAGTTGTCCGGAATCATGTGCTCCTCCGCCACCCGTTGGATCATTCAGTCTGCTGTGCGTGTGCACCCATTCGGTGAGCGTGACATCCGAAGTGCCGCCCGATTCCAGGGGTATGGGATTGTGGCGGAAGTGCTCGAGCATCTCCTGGATCGAGGGGAACCACAGGTGCTGCACGCGGCACTGACCCTTCTCCGAGATGGTGAGCCGCAGATGCTTGGCTCTTCCCTGGAAATTGAACGTCAGCACGAACTCGCCGCGTCGCGTTTCGCTCTGTCGCACTAAGAAGTATCCATGTCCCGCTGCATCCGAGTGGAGAACCATGCGGGCAGCTTCCGAACGCGTCAGTGTGCCGTGGAACCAGGGAAACACGCTCATCTCAGCCGTCAAGTCGGCCACATCCGCATCGTTTTCGGTGCCCTCGATGCCATCAAAGTTGCTCGAGGCCGACAGCCGCTGTTCACCACGATGCGGCCGTACTGGTATATCCGGTGGACCGGAGGGCGGTGTGGTGCCCAGTTCGTTGATGACATTCAATTCGCTGGCCGAAATGGCGCCTCCCTGACCCAAAGCGCTATCTGCGGATAGGGAAGTGGCCAGGGGAGCTCCTCCACCCACCAGATTGCCATTTGAGCCACCCTGCTGCTGGTACTGCGGATTCTGTATGCCCCCAATGGGATTTGGATTCGGATTGGCATTCGAATTGGGACTGGGATTTGTGGGCGATGTTTGCATGGCGGACGCCATCACGCCATCCGATTCGATCATCGGCTGCTGCGTGGGCGGCGTTCGCATGCAGTAGCGTATAGTGGCCAGCCAGCTGCGCATCTCCTCGGCACTTTCCGCCTCGATCACGTACTCCATGTTGTTGTCCGCCTTGAGGACGAACGTATTCAGCCTGTCGGGCATTTCCAGCGCTGTCGTTTCGCGTGCCTCGGAGATGAGGAAACAGAAGACGCCACTGCGCGGCTTCGTCGCCTTGTGGGGTGTGTAGAACTCGAGCATGTAGCCGCCAACGGCCTTGACCAACACCAGTCGGCATTTCTCCCACTTCTGCGAGCCCGTCGGCTGGTCGAGACTCTCCGGCGTCAGGTTGTTCACCGTGCCCTCCTTGCGGCACTCGACCACGATCTTGGCCAGCTTCGTCTTGCTCTGCTTGCCGCTCCCACCGCTGCCGTCCACGTCGTCCGAGTTCTTGTGGAAGAAGGCCTGCAGCAGAGAGATCTTGGACAGTTAAAACGGGGTGGAAACAATATAGCCGGTGTGTGGCCGACTATCAAACATCCTGGTATTCAAAATATAAGTCTTGTAATTTTAGCAGATAAAATATGCTTTAACTGAAGTTAACACTAATCAAAAATATGCACAGAATGCAAAGAATGCTAAAGTGAATGTTCTTATCTGCACACTTGAACTTCGTGATTTCACGCGTAATAATTATCTCATCGACATTCTAAAGTTGATTGTGATTATGGCTGTTAAATCGGACAAGACATGTTTTTAATAAAAAGTATTATTGATATACCTTTCTGAAGGTCCCAGTCATAAATCCATAATTTTAAATAATTCTTCTATTTATGAAACAAATCAATTGAACTTGAATACCAGGTGTTACCAGACAATAATCAAAAATCGAGGTAGATATCTAGAGCAGAATATTCCCTGTGATTTTAGAAACTCAGAATAATCTCCTTGAACCTAATAAGTAAACTTTCTACCACCCAACTCACCTTTCCCTTGCGCAGTCCTTTGAATGAGAGCCGTCTTAGCAGAGACTTTGAAAGCAGTCGCGGTCCCTCGTGCTCCTCCTCGAAGTCCAGTGATCCCACGCCCGATTTGAGGGTACTTCTCCGTTTGAAGAACTCCGTGTCGTAGTGGGCCGAAAAGGACTCGACGAATTTCTGGGAAAAGCTGCGATGCTGAATGTTCCTGGCCTCCTCCGGCGGCAAATTGCCATTGATGTATGTGATGCAGGCCTTGGCGAAATCCGAGGCAGCCACTCGGGCATGTCGTTCGCAGAATTCCTCCCAGCTGGTTCCTCCGTAGGCGTACGAGGAGACTCCCATGGCGTTGCCCGTGCCAATTGGTGCGGGTATCAGGTCGCTTCCACCGGCAATCGCTGCTGCTGCCGCTGCGGCGGAGGATGAGGTTCCCAGGCTGTGGTGACTGCTGGCCGACGTGGGTCCAATGTATCCGCCTGCGCTAAAGGCGCTCGAATTGGCCCCCGTGCTGTTGCCACCCATTTGGCCAGGTGCTGGTTGCCAATCCCTCTGCTCCTGCTGCCTCTGCCGGTTCAGGTTCAGTTTGCCACACGAGTTACCCAGCTGGAGTCCGTTTCAAAAGAGCTGAAAGGGTGACAAAACAAAGCTGTTGCGGTTTAGTCATTCGAGGTTCTTGGAATTAAAAGACAGGCCCATATCTCCTTGCAGCATTCCTGAAAACAAAATCGCTTTTTGACGGGTGTTTTGAAAATTAATAATACTCATCTGTCTGCACAAAATAATTAAATTATGATAGAAATTATCTGTTTTCAATTGGACTTATCAGTTTCAGATAATATGAAGGTTTTTTATTATATTTATAAGTGAGATGGATTTTAAAATAATCTAGTTTAAAGTTTGAAATTATCAAAAAATTTATTATTCAAAAGGTACCACAATAAATAGTCATACATTATTATTAAAAATATTATTCGGTTTTTTTTCTGATTAACCACAATTTATTATCATTTTATTTATCTTTCCCATTTCCGATCTAAATTTAATGAGGGATCATGAGCGTTTGTTGGCTTCGAGTCTCTGACTCAGAGGATTAAAGTTTGCAAAGAATTGGGGGAAGTTTCTCGGTTGTTTCGAGGTTTTTATTGTAATAGACTTGATAAGATTATAGTGGTAAACAAATTAATTAATTCTTCTCCCTTGCAATCACAAAATTCTCTTTTTCAAAGAATAATATGACTTTGAATACTATTAATTTCACAATTTTTAAAAATATTACACAATTCTATAGTTTAAACTTAAAAGGAAAAACTACGATTTTAAAAGCTGTAAGTTCTGATAATAAATTTCTTTGTGGTGATAAGAATTTAGTACCTATACTTTGGTATTGTTTATTATTAAGGCAGTATGCTAAGAAAAGTTTACTGTTGCTTTAAATATGTATGTTTTAGTGTTTTGCTATTAAGTTATATATTTTTATTTTTTATTTATTTATAAAAATGCGCTGTTTGTATTATATATGTAACATAATGAACATTGCCCAGACGCAACAACATTCATCTGCGTTTGTACATATATGTTTGCCTTTATGTAACGAACATTTACGCATGTTTGCACATTACATTAAGTAACGCGCATTTTCGGTGCCACAATTAATCCTTTTTCTCGGCAATTAAAAACAAAACGAAAACAAACTTGCGGCGTAGCCCACACACACACGAATACAAATACAAAAGCAAACACACACACAACTGCGCGGTGGTGAAAAATTTCCCACAGGAATTTCCACGCCTACGTCACATCGCAATATGCGCGTGGAAAATGCTCACAATACTACCACCCACATAGCTTTGAATTAACTATTTAGCGCTTGAAAATAACTCACTTTGCGGCTTAACTATCTTCTAAATGCACGGCATCTTTTTAACTTTTATTTTTCTACACAAATTGAACGCTGTCTCGCTCGCACACACACACACGCACGCACATCCGCTCAAAATATTCTTTTGCGTCGTGTTGTTGTTGTTGTTGCGGTCAAAAGGAGAAGTTAATTAACAACTGAAATGCACATACACTGGGTCGCGTTTAATGTGCTACCATCGGCTGAAAGTTCCGTTTAGGTTACCGCCTTTTTGCAATATTATTTTTCACTGATTTGTTTGTGTTTTTTGCGATTTAATTTAACGAAAAAACCTGCGAAAAAGCAACTGCAAAACGTCCTAAAATTGGATGTGGTATTTTTGGTAGTATATAAATACCGGAAAATCCCGACTTAAATCGATTAACATTGCTGCACTATCGATACTTAAAGAATCGTTGATTCGCTGGAGGGTGTTCCTGCTAAATATGGTTCGGCTATTAGCTAAAGACGCACTAAAGCCTTAGTCCACTCGGTTCGAAACTTTGCTAATTATACTGGTACGGAACTTGAGAATTATTACCTATTTTAAAGAAATAACTCGCAAGCTTTTTGTTTAAATCTCACATTTTTATTGTTTCTATACGTTTCGAAATTGCATTTACTTAAAATTATTATGTAACTATCGTTTCCATATGCATACAGTAATTATTTATTGTTAGCTGCATTAATAGTAAATAATTAAAATTCTTGAAACTTAATTTTTGTGAAACACACGCAGTGCAACAGTTGTTGTTGTCTACCATTTATTTATTGTTTGCAACGAACACATGCATTTTGGCAAAACATCATTTATGGTTGTGAGTTGAGTGTGAGTGGCTCAAATGGGGAAATTTTTGGGTGAAAAACAGGACAAGAAAGGACGGAAATGGGCGTGTGAAACGGAAACGGATCGCGAATAAATGTGTTTTATGAAGGCGAGCTTACTAACTATTATTTGTTGCATGGTGGTTTGTTATCAATACACATACGTACATATCCATAACTTAAGTATTTACAGAACATACTGCCCGGAACAGATTTCGAGTGGAGTTTTGTTGTGTGTTTTTTGGGGATTTGGTTGCAATTCGAATCTCAAACTGTCTTCATTCTAGTCTTTTCGCTATCGTTTACAGAGTTATTTGTTTTATGCCTATGAACTGTAACTAATATTTCGCTTGATCTTTGCTCTACTCGCTAATTATCTGCATGATTGGAGACCTTAAAGCCGATTTGAATGAACTCTCGCATGACGTATATATTTATATGTGAATATATAAAACCTTTCCGCTTAGGCTAGAAACTATAATTACTCGGTTTTTGCTTTTATTTCACTATGAAAACGAGGATCACCTAACTTAAAACGAAACTTAGTTAAGTTGAGTTAAAAAATACATACTCAATACGTTATTTAAGAGACAAACGTTTAGTATTAGATCTTATGTGTGTGTTTTCTTCGCGTTCTTTTTGTTTTTCTTTGCTTTTAGATAGAGTACACTCAGACTTCCAGTTGTTTTGATGGTTGTTGCGCGATAAACGGCTCGCTCCACATGCGCCGCAGGTCGCCCTGAAGGAACAAATCATAAAACATTATAGATATCGATTTGGGATTATTTGGGGTGGGGTTGAGTTGGGGGTTATTGACAGTACCTTCAGATAGGCCATCAGCAAGAGCGGCAATAACGTAAAGGGCACCAGATACAGCAGCGCCGGCTGAGCCGCCTTGAAGACCTCGGAGCTGACCGTCGCCGTTAGCAGACCCAAGAAATAGCTGAAATAAATCGGTAAAAAATATTAAAAAGTCTTCTAAATATATCAAAATCTATTTTAAATTGTACAAATCGTTAAACTATTAAGTGTAAATTCCCGTATTTTTAACAAATGTTTTGCCACAATCGTCTGCAATTAAATAATTGTTCAAGATTTTCGATTAGCAATAATTGGTACAAGTTTTTAAGACTCAAAGTAATCACATTCTTTATTATCACGCCTCAAAAGAATGGTTCTTGTTTTCATGTTGTTTGTTATCTAAGAAAAAATCCCGAAGGAGGTGAAGCTACAGATTGGCATGTTACTATATCTGGCTATATACATTATAAAAGTCATCCAAAGTAAAAGCAAATTAAATGTAGAATTTTTTTAATCAAAAACTAGACTTTTTCTGCTCTAAAATAGATTTTAACTAAGCCCTAATGTGAAGAAAAGCCTTCTTGAACATTTTCCTACATATTCCCATTTATTTAACGACTTACCCCAGTAAGGAACAATGAAAGTATGTCAGCCGGGAGCCAACTCCCCTGGGCGGCGACAACGTTGGATCCGATGTGACGCCCTGCGCCTTTTTGTACGCATCATAACGCAAGACGAAGCACAGCAACAGTCCCGGCATCACCACATCGCCCAGTCCCAGCATGGAGAAGTGGCCCGTATTGTGGAGGCTGGGAAAGACGAGCTTTCCGGGCAAGTTCAGCTTCGGTGTGTCCCGCACAATTCCGCCCAGATGCAACTTTCTGGCCACGATGCCCACTGGATTATCGGCGGGTCGCGTGGCCACCTTGACCATCACGTTGGTGCTGAAGATGTACGAGGAGAGGAATACCCAGAAGACGTCGTAGATGAGCAGGCCGGTCAACAGCAGCGTGGACACCTTCAGGCTGGGCAGACGCACAAACGCAATGAAGGCCACACACAGGCCCATGCCCATTGCTTATGCAAGAAAGGGGAAATATTTCGTTACAAAAAAATCTAGATATTTCATTATAAATAAAGATTATTACCATCCATCAGCAGCCAGTGCCCAGTAAGCACCCAGATGCACACAATCGACACCGAGAGCGTAAAACTGAACAGCTCCGCCGCCGTGAAGCGACCACAGATCCCAAAGGAGAACCGCTTGCCATCCGTGCATGGCCTGATGATGTACTGGCACATGGGCAGCAGCAGGAAAGCCAGCGCCACGGTAGCAATAACTGTGGAGAAGGAAATATCAGTTTAAAATAGATCAAAATAAGAGATTTATTAAACTAAAAAAAATTAATTTGGGCATGATTATTTTTTCCGTTTGTAAATTATGATTATCTTTATCAATTCTCATCGAAAAATTTATTTTAATGCTTGGAATAAACAAAATAAAATATTTTATCATACACATTTGTCATTTATGTTCAGTTTGAAATATATCAAAATAGGAGATTTATGAAACTAAAAAAAATTCATTTGGGTATGATTATTTTTTTTGTTTGTAAGTTATTATTATCTCAAGCAATGCTTATCAAAAAATGTATTTTAATGCTTGGAATAAACACAATTTAATATTTTATCACACACATTTGTCATTTATATTCTGTATGACCTTTCAGGACTTAAAATAAAAAATAGTACAATCGTACATTAAGATTTTTCATGATTCAGTTTAAAAACGTGATTCTTTAAATCATATTCTTTAGCTTCTTGCATACATTTTAGTAACCTTGACTTCGAGAGTATTCCTATTTATTATTATCATTCTCATTTATTTTACCGGAAGTATGGACAGATAATTCGGATATATATAATTAAAACGTTACTCACTCGCTGTGCAGACGGCGAAGAGCAGCTGCATCGAGTCGAAAAAGAAGAACATGATGAGCAGTGAGATGGAAGCTCCGAGGGGCAAACACAGGGCATGCATCGTGTCCAGGGTGGCGAATTTATCCGCTGTGAAATAGAGATCTGAAATTTATAAAACATTCCTTATGCATTTTGTGGGCTAGTGATTCAAACATACTTGGTTCCTTCTCGACGGGTTCGCCGGTGAGGAGATTGGTCATCGATTCATTTCGCTTCTTCTGCTCCCGCTCGCGGGCCTCCTGCTCGATATTCAGGGAGCGGAAGCTGCCGTAGACGATCAGCAGCATCGATATGAGGCAGGTGGAGACCCGAGACGAGTCCATTACGCTCGAGACCGTCCAGTGGAGTTCGCGGTATTCTCCACCTCCAGCTGCCGCCGCACCGCCTCCAAGTTGGCCGGCTCCAACAGTTTGAGCTCCCAGACCGCCGCCGGCTCCACCGTGCGACATGCTCGCTCCGGATCCTCCGGATGCGCCTTCTCTATGTCCCAGCTATCAGAATCAGATTTCAGATAACACTCTTTGTCGCCAGTTGGGTTTTTCTCCGCTTATCAGTCGACCTGCGCTGGGTTTATCACTATTTTTTACGTCCGCTGCACCGTTTCAATCTAAACAGAAACCGAAAATTAAATGAAAAGTGAAATTTTGGGTTTTGGGTGTATTGATTTAGCGATAACTTTTATATTTGCTGACCTTATCGCTAGTTAACCCCCCGTATCTGTTTGTCTTCTTGAGGTTATTTAGACAGCTGCGATTAGGTTTTTCGGAGCACACACTCTCCCAAGGTTTATTTTCCACCATGTCGCCTTAAGTCGAGAACGGAAACCTTGGGGTCAACTTTCACGCACCTCACGAATTAGGCAATGAAAATAAATTAGAACGCCACTCACACTCAACGAAAAAAAAATAGAGAATCGTCAGAAAACAAAAATTCACTTGAAGACCTTGAAGTACTCCGTTTTTGGAAACTTTAGCTATGAAGACCTACTGAAATTTTATGAAGAACACACCTGTCATCGATCTGTATAAGTAAATACATACTTTTGATTAAATAGATAGTAGGTTTAACAATATTATTGTTTATCCTAGAAATATTAAAGTAGTAAGGCCCACATGGCATTCTAAATTGGTTTCCTTTGCTCATGTATAATTCAAAGGTTTGCAACTGACCCTCCAATTTCAAGGTAATGGAAAATGTAATGAAAACTAAACTTTACTATTTGTTTAGGCGTGAACTTTCGTTAAATAAACTATGTGATTCCCTCCAGTATTGAACATTTACAGCAAACTGTTTAAAAAATGTTTACTTTAAATTTTCCAAACTCTTTTCAAAATGCGTCCAGACAGGCATCGCATATCTTATAAACAAACATATGGGGTCGTCTATATATAGAAATTATATTTTATTTTCTCCCATTTCTCATTTACAACGTCTAGTGCACCTTTCTTTTTCTAAATCTAGTGAAGGTGCATCGGAAAAAATTTTATAACTTTCTGGAAAAAATGCAATTTAATTACTGAATCGATCTTAAGAACTTGTCAAGTGTTTTCTTCCGGTGTAGTTTAATATAATAACAACAACCGGTGTGAGAAAATAGCAGATTGTCCGCATGGGACTTACATAGCAGCAAATACAACAATTAACCGACAAGAAGAAGGCCGTAAAAGCAGTTAAAATTGGAATAAATTATAAAAGCGTTACCCAGTTTTCCACGATGCCAGTTTCCATTGTTATTACCACAAATTCTATAGTATTTTCACACACACTCCTATATATAAATACACCCACGCAGGGTTGTTGCACTTGGGAAATGTTAATAACAGACCCTGTTAATAGAGTGGCGCTCTGCTAACTCGCTAATGACAATAAAGAGAGAGATAGAGCGAGATAGAGATAGTTGACAACTTCCTTAGCAGCTGTTGTTGTTGTTTTAGTTGCATGTTGCCAAGTGCCGTTGCTCGCACTAATTTATGTTGACTGTTGTTGGCAAATGTAAGTGTGTTTGTGTGCGGAATGCAAATGATTGAAATATATTTACAGTGGTGGGCAAAATAATAGTAATGTTTTACAAATTTTTAATTACGTTTTAAGAAATTTAACAAATGTTTGACTTTTTCTACCTTGGATGGGTAAAGTACATTTACAGGTTAATAAAAACTTGTTTGTGTCGAAATATCCCACATTAATTGCTCGTTTTATTAATTTAAAACTGGTTTTCATTAGGTTTTTACGTTCTACTGATTTAATGGAACATTAGATTCAGCGATATAAATATTTTTTGCAAACAAAGATTGAATAGTTACTAATATGTTTGCCACAACTGTCTTTACATGTGTGTACTTTTCTGCACTTCCCCTTTCCCCATCTCTCTCTATCTTTATTTCTATCTCCCCTCTGGTTGCAACAAATTAAGTTTCCCACACATTGCAATTCCAAAGGGGGTGACACAGGCGTAGGCAGGGGAGGGGGTATTTGTTAACGAGCGCTAATTAGAATTAAATTATGTGGCGGGTGTAAAGTTACGCTCTCCAAAGTTGACACAATTAGCGTAGAATTTTCACAGTTTAAAGCGGTTACCGAACATGAGCTACATAATTAGCCAAACTCATTGAGAAAATGCCGCTCACATCGCACACACATATGCAAACATGCCGACAAACATACAATACACACACACGCAAACACTTTCTAATTTGAAACGCCCCAAAAGTGGGGAACAAACATAAAATAAAAGAAGTACCAAGCAATTGGCTTTGCTGTAACTGCCCACGACGAATGTGAAAGTGAAATTCGCCAAGATACAGGGGCGGGGGGATTTCTCGAGGGGGGTTAACAGAGGTTCATAGAAAAAAGGTGGATTGTCCACCTAAAAACTAGATTTACTTTTTTCATGTATTATTAGTTTTTTATTCAGCTTTAGAAGGATAGTCAGTCGCAAAACTTGATAAGTAATTTTATATTTTAAACATTTTGCAAATATTCAGATAAGGTTCGCTTAGTATAAAATGTATTTCATATTCAGGCCCCGCTTTGTGTGACGAAACTGTCTTGAATCACAAATAAGAACAATTGACTTTCAATAACCTAACTAATTTAATGGAACAAAGTATTATTTGCATGTCAAATTGCATTTACCTACTACTTTCACGTAAAAATTATATATTGTAATATATTTTAAACTGTATTCGAAAAGTCAACATATGTTCCAAATTTTAATCTATTTTAAGTACTCTAACTTTTTTAGTACCTCATCAAAGATCTTCCCTACACTCTAACTATATTAACTTTCAAAACTATAAAACAATCTTGAAGATTTTCATGACTGAGAGGCTACCAATTAAAGTTTTAAGTGCACTGAACGCGGAAAGCATAAAAACAAGTGCGTAAAGTGGGCGCAAAGTTTTTCTTTTATTATGCAAAAGGGGGAGGGGCTTTTCGCTTTGGCGAAGACTGGCTTGCAGCGCTTGAGAAATTTTTTTGTACCAACTAATACGACGACTTAGCCTGCGCTTTAGGTTTTTTCCCCATTTTTGTTGTATTCCGTTTCGTGTTTGGTTACACTCCACTTCATTTTCATTCCGTTTTATTTCCATTCCACAAAACTCCAACTTCGCTCCACTGCGTAACAAAATTACAAGGCACTCACACACTTGCACCAAACAACAACAACAACATCATCGAAAGGGGGAAAAATACTTGTCTTTAATTACAGCAAGGCAATCGAAATATTGTAACACACATAAATACACATAAAGTGCACTCGATACTCCCCAAAAAAGTTGGGGGACTTTTTCGCTTACTTTGCCTTCACATTCACATTCGCGTTTGGCTGTATTTTCCTTGGTTTTTGTTTTCCCCTTTGCACCGATATTCGTGTTCGCGATAAAAAGATGTGCAGTGTCTGCTACATTTTCACGCGCTTTTCATTTCGCCCTGCGAGCCGCTTTCCACATGCACATTTCCACGATCTTCGGCGGTCGCTGCACTTAAACGTTAGACAGCCATTTTGCTTTTGCATTTATTTCTATTAGTAACTTTAGCGGGAGGAGAACAACAACGAATTAAACATTTCACGCTTTAGGCCATTTTCGCCTGCGCGAGAGTATGACCGTGAGTGTGCAGGAATACCACGGAAATATAACGGTCACATTTTGGAGGTGCCGATATTTTTTATTGTTTTGCTTACAAATATGTTAATTCAGATGCTATATAATATTTTACATTAAAAAATAAATTAAAAAGTTCTGTATTAATGCGGTTATTCCACTACATCGTTCGGATCATTCATTAGTACAATTATTTCTCAGCCCATACGATTTTACGTAGGTGCGAGCAAGATCCGATTTACAGTAGCTCTAATAAATGAGCAAAATTGTACTTTTTAGATTCAATTTTGCTCATACAAAAAAAAATAAAATGGTGGCCTTCGGTTTTTAAAATTTTGCTCATTAATTGCTCATTGCAGCTGACATATATCTGTCTTGCTCGCACCTACGTAAAATCGTATAGGCTGAGAAAAAATTGTTCTAATGAATGAGCCGTCCAATGTAGTGGAATAACCGCATTAAGCCGACTCTGTCAATTAATTTATTCAAATGTTCTCTTTTTTTTAAATTAAAAAGGCTATTCATGTGCAGCCTTTTATTTTGAATAAAATGAATGGAAGGAGTTATAGGAAACCATTATCTAAAATATCGAAAAGCAATAATGGTTTAAACATAGGCTAGAATTCTGAGCAGGTTGCAAGCATCGTTAAATCTTAGCAAAGTATCAAACCCTATACATTTAGTGTTAAATTTAGGGTGTCCACATTTTAGTCTTTTTCGTTTCTATATCCCCTGGTATATTTGAACGGCCCAGTAACGGTAGCACTAATCCAAGATTTTTACACTCGACGGACGCACAAATAAAATTTAAAACAAATCGGTGCAACGGCTAATCGCGCAAACAGTGGCTCAAATCGAAGAGTTTTACTCGTGGAAAATTTAGAAAAATCCGATAAATATAGTGCGTTAAAACGGGTGTTTTAAAAGTGCGGAAAGAAAGGCGGAAAAGTGCAGTTGATACTGCAGTTGGGGGTTCCTTTTGGAAAAGAGCATCTTCCAGTGGTTGACAAACCAGTTAAATCGAAGTCACTTTTAAGGAGTTACTTCATCTAGAACAAACCAATCCGCCATGGGTCTCAACGGCTGTTGTTCGTGCGTCAAATATCTGATGGTCCTTATAAACATTTTATTCTGGGTATGTAGATTCCAGCAGCAGGAACAACAAGAAGAGATTCGATTCTCTCCCATCACAACAACAACTGGAACACACGGACCTCCTTCTGGCGCGCGCGCTTGTGTGTGTGTATGTGGGTGTTTTGCGTGAGCGTGTGTGTTGTGTATTCCCTACGCCCCTCTTTCTCTCGCTGGGCGTGCGGGTGGGGGGCTTTAGGGGGGAGGGGCCGTGCGCACGCTCTTTGGAGTCCTACAGTTCTCTGTGGCCCCCCATCCCTCTCTCTCTCTCTCGATCCTAGAGGTGCCCTAAACGAAAGATTAAACCTAAATACAAGTCGTTAAAAAAGTTAATTAATAGTTTTTAAATTTAAATGTACATTTTAAAAGCTTAAAATAGTTTTAAATTTAAAGTTAAAACTTGAACTTTTTTAACTATATTATTAATGTTGAAGGGCTGTATTAAGATGCATTGAGTGGACCTAGCTTAACAATATAAAAAATGTATTATTGATGTTCTAGTAAACCTTGTGGCTTTTTTATTGAATACCAGGGCTAACAGTTCTATTGTTAATCAAATTCAAAGTTTACTAATATTGAAAAAAAAAACAATTTCTTAAATAAAATGTAATTTAAGTCTAAACGGAAACATAAATGATTATACTTTTAGGGCAGAGACTTCAAAAAGCCAATGCGACATCACTGATTGTCCCCCAATCTGGCTCTCCCTCCCCCCCCCTCTCCCGCTCCCTATCGCTGAGTAGGGCTCTCTGCTCCTGACTCCCCCACATAAAAACAATAGAAGTTCCATTGTGGGAGGAGAGTGAATAACACACACACAGGCACACCTCCGCACACACAGACAGATAAACATTTAAGCATCTCACTCCCCTTTACCCCCACTCCCACCCACTGTTTTCTTTCTTCTCCACATGTTTGTTCAGTTGTTTTTCTTCTGCTTCTGTCTTTTCCTGTTGTCGTTTTTTTTGTTTTATTATTTTTATAACGTATACGTGCGTTTGATATTTTTACAAACTTCGGCAGGGTTAATTTGGTAAAGAAAAAGGACCCCGTTCCCCAAAGAAAGGGTTCTACTTCCTTTGCCCCATCTTATCTGCTTGTTGTTTTACGCAATTTGTGACTTTCAACATCGCCCCGTTTGGCTTTCAATTGTTTCCATTCAATTATTATCTGCCACTGCGATTGTTTGTGTTTGTTTTCCTCGAGTTTTTCTTTTCGGGTTTTCCTCTTGTCTTTCGTGGCTTGCGAAATCAGTTTCGCTTTTTTTTCTTTGGGCAACAAATTTAAAATTTTGATTCTTATGCGGGTTTTTTTTCGTTTGGTTTGTTGATTGTTGCTGCCTTTTTTCGATTTCTGTCTATAGTATTTATTAGTCAAAAGCTATTTTCGAATACGGGCGGAAAAACAACAAAAACTAACGCGTCCGTTCAATTTTTCGCTGTGGTACACAGAAAGAAACTATTAGTGTGTTTTAATTTTTTAGAAACTACAATTTTTATTTTACTTTTTTTTAAGTGCTTCTAGCTTAGAAATATAATAAAATTTAGTTGATCGTTTTTATTAAATAAAAAAATTTCTAAGACTCTTTCAAAACTTATCTGGGGAATATGGAACAAAAACGCATACAAACTAGGACATATTGATTTTATTGTTTTCAGTGTAATTTTCCTTGATCTGTGATGTTTTGTTGTTGTTGCTTATTGCACAGTGGTATGTGTTTAATGTTGATGGAGGCAACAATAAATGGTGAAAATTGTGATGTGTTTGTGATGCAGTTCGTTTCACTAATCGGCTGAACTATTTTTAGACCAATGTATGGATGAAAGTGCGTCAGATATTTATTTATATTGAGGTTCGAAAACTTATCATACTTTGTTTTGATGGTATTTTTAGCGCATGGGTGGTTATCAATTATTACTAATTTAATATTGTTTTAGATAAATAATTCGAAATGGATAGATTTATTTAAAAAAAATGTCTAGCCAATCTGATGAACACTGTACAAATTGTTTCGAATCCCTCCCCACTGTCCAGCGGTTTCAAAACATTTCCATTTTCATCGTCGCCGTGGGGCATCGTGATCAAACGCCACGATCTCTGAGGACGCTGACGTTCCAATGAGGCCGATATCCCATCAGATCCAAGATCCAAGTTGCCGGGGGAGGCCTATGCCAAAAGCGTCCAAAATGCTAAACTGCCGGCTGTCGTCATTGAAGTTGACAGTGACCAAAATTGAAATTGTTTTAATATTCCGTTGGCCATCTGACAAAACTTACGTCTACCGAAAAGCAATCCATTTACTTACAGTAGGAAGTCTACAAGAAAAACCATTATCTCTACTAAAATTTAAAATGTTTGCGTCTTTAAAACACAAAATATTTATTTTATAACTGTGAATAGTTTAAAAAAATATAATTGGAAATAACAATATTTAAATAGTTTCCCTCTAAAGTATTCCTTAAAGTTTAAGATCTGTGTATTTTTTCTATCAGCTCGCACATGTCATTTCTAAATGCATAATTTGCTGTGCTATTTTTCACTCAATTATTCATGAGTGGCGCTTCATTCATTTTTCATATATTCAGTTTGTATTTTCAGTTTGCGAGTTGCATGATGGCCTGATGGCTGCAATTTGCCATCGATGCGGTTAATTGTGGGACAAAACTACAACTGGACATGCATGGCAACCCAGCTGCCTTTTGCCCACTTTTGCCCCCCTTTTTTTACGAACAACTTAGCAGCAGGAAAATGAAAATGCTCTCTCGTTTTCCGCCTTTCGACGCCTCGGCTCTGAAAAGTGGGTCAACGAAGGACTCTGCACATTTATTGGCCCATTCGGCAGACATTCTGTTTGTTTGTCATGGACACGCGACATAGTGTCAGATGGTGTACAAATATATATGTGGGGAAAACGTATGGGGAATCGTAAAATTCCAGCAAACACGGCTACAAACAAGGCGTGGATTGCAATTCGTACGATGAAAAATGGAACTGATTCGAAATGGGGTCAACCTCTGTTCCTTAAAAGTATGGGAATTAAAGTTTAAACACATTTCTTGAAGCCATCTGGCTTTTTAACCATTGAAGTAAAACTTATAGATTATTATAACATTGGATCAATGTTAAAGATATAACTTTGTTTATGATATGAAAATATAATGATAAATTATAAAATTATAGTCGATATAGTCTCAACTTCTTTTTAAACTTTCATTTTAATTTTCCTATTATTTTTATTACGTCAAGATTCGATAGATCTTTTTACAATATTTTCCCTTGAAAAATGAATAAAAGTTACAAAAGCTTGGGCTTATGGTTACAAAGTATGACGTCTGTGCTTTTCATGCTACTTAACAAACTGCCCTCGTATGGGGCAACATTGTATTACGTTTCTATGAGCAGTTTTTCCGTTAGCTACACACACATATCCAAACCCATGAACTTTTGGGCCAGTATATCGTGCACTCTGTGTGGCACACTTTTTGTCTCATTCACTTGTTTGCAGCTGACTCTTTCGTGGACCACCCGCATAAAGCCGGTCTCTGTTTCTCTTATATTTCCTACGATTTTCACGAATTTTCCGGTTGCGGTTACTTGCTCTTTTGCGCCTTTAAGCTTTTCTTAACGTAAGATGTCTTCTATTTAACTTGGGCGCCAAAAGTAAACTCTTCTACCTGCTTTATAAGTAATCTTAAAAATCTTTTTATCATTCCATAATAAGGAGGTTTTAATTAGTTACATGAATGTTTGGTAACTGTATTCTTGTGCGTAATCTTATCGAGAAGCACAGATGCTCGGAATGCTCCAATTTTATTCAGTGAAATTGCGAAAGCAAAAAAAATTAGATACGATTTGATTTGTATTTTGAAATGCTTCCCTGTTTGCCTTCGGTTTTTAAGTGGTTCTAAATTTACATATTTTCCATATAATAAATGCACTTGCTTACATCTCTCGATTAGTTCTCATCGCACACTCAATTTCCCTGCGATGAATAATTTTGCTGAATAATTAATTAGGTTTTGCATAGACACTCTGGATGCTTGAGGGCCCAACCTATTAAGTCATTAGCTCTTTATTAGATTTTCTCACTCATTGCACGAACGAAAAATTAAATACAGCATTTTTCTGGTTGGTTGGACTCGCATAGGCAAGTTAAGTTCTTAAATTTCTGAGCAGAAAACCTTAAGGGGAAATAAATAAGAAAAATTCCTCTAGCGGAAACAATTCAAACAAAAGTTCATATTTCGCCTGCTGATAACCCGAGGAGTGAGATAACAAGAGCTTGGCATCTCATATTCTCGTTGGGGATCAACGCCTTGCTACTTCTATATATAAATACAGTCTGTCTTGGCGATGAAGGCTAAGAAGTAACTTGAGACGAATATAATTTCATTTTATTTGGTACATTTTTGCCTAACCGGATCATTAAATTTTGAACTTAATGGACCGACTCTTATGGGTTTTAAAAGTGCAAAGTTTTAAGAGACTTTTGTACTTGGTACAAATATTCTTTGATTTTATTTGGTGAATTTTGCCTAACTGCAATATTAATTTTTAACCATAAAAATGGTACATCTTGTCAAACTGAAATTTCATTTTTATAAATTTTATATTTCTTTGTTTTCCGCTGAATGCCATAATTTAATTTAATTAAAAGAAGCCAAATAGCAAGTGGCAAATATAATTTGACGCTTTCAACTTAGCTGACATCATGAGTTGGAAACTATAGAAGTTGAAGGGAAGGGAAAATTGGGGCGGGGCAGTCTCCCACTTTAATTGCCGCCCCGCCAGATGGCGTCATTGACGCGTGTTCCCAGTTGTGTTGAGTGCAACTATTAGAGAATTACATAGAAATATGTTGTGAAAAATTCAGAAAAAAAAACCTACTATATTTTCTATTTTTCTTGCTTACAGCTCATCGGCCTGACCATCGTGATCACCTCCGTTTGGATGCTGACAGATCCCACATTCATGCTGTCGATGACACAATCCTACAATCACTATCATATAGCCCTATACGTTTTCCTCGCCATCGGCATACTGATCACATTGGGCGCATTCTTTGGCTGTTGTGGAGTCTGTCGGGAGTCGCAATGTCTGCTGGTTTCGGTGAGTAAAAACGAGTGCAGTAAAGTATAAAGCACTATTTAGTACCAGTGTCTGGGAATTCCAATTAAAATGGATGCAAATGTGTGGCCCACACTGTTCCGTTCGAATAATTGCAAAGGAGGTTCGCCCACATTGTCTTGGAAATTCTGAAAAAAAAAAAGGCTGCACTTGGCAAAAAGTGCCAAATATTCATAAATTGGTTTTGGTGATAATAATGTAATTACTTTAGCTTTTTAATGTTCAAAAAATGAATAACAAAAAAAGTCTTTTAAATTATTTTGTTTGAATTACTAAGCAAGATTAAAATGTTGTGCACTTTTACTTAGACTAAATACTATTTCTTCAACAAACCTAAATTTTTTTGAAATTTTTAAAATATTTTTAAAAATATTACTATGATAAATGAACAACATTTTGATTTTTTCAAGTGACTTCAGATTGCATGGAGTTCTTTACTCCGAGTTTATCTTTCCTAAATCGCAGCCAGTTTATTTGCTAAACGCCCACGGGCCTGTCGCACTCCGCCATTCATAAATCTCGAAATTCTCTTGCAGTTCTTCTGTGTCATACTCATCGTGATGGTGGCACAAATTGCAGCCGGGGCATGGGCCTTCCACAACAAAGACAAGCTGGATGACATCGTGCGGGCGGCGGTCAAGTCGTCGGTTCAGGAGGAATACGGCCAGTCGACAATGAGTTCACGCACCGTCACCTTCGATACGCTGCAAAAGAATGTAAATATTTGGACCATGGTCCCCATAAACGATTTATGTGAATTTATTTATTCGTTTTCAGTTGAAATGCTGCGGTGCCGATGGACCTGGCGATTGGGCCACGAGTCGTTTTAATAATGTGGATCGCACAAATATTGTGGAGATCGCTGTGTCTTCCATGAATGTCTTCTATAACATACCCGAATCCTGCTGCAAGGACAATCTGAAGGATAACGAGTGTGAGCTGTCGCGACGGCTAAAATTCGGTGGTCCATTGAACAATGCCATTTATCAACAGGTAATAATTGGGTTTTGGTTATATTTTAGAAAGCCTCAATGAGTCATATTGATTTTTGTAATCTATCACATAGGAAATGAGTCTTTAATGACCTAAAAAAGATTTTCCAAATTTTGAAACCCATTATTCATACTCAATTTCGGTTTTAATTGTTTATCAATTAATAATAAGCGACAGAAAACTGAAAACTCTTTGTCATATGTATTTCCCAAAAATATAAGGGCATGAATAATCCATTGAGAAGACAAAAATAATTTACTGGTACTGGTAAAATAGTTTATTTTTCTTACAAAACTCCCATAATTGACCATTCTTTCAACGCTCGTTCATCGATTCAATGAATTACCGAAAAACCATCAAAACTCAATTGATAGGTGTGTTTGAATCGTAATTTCTTGGCTGACCGATCGCTATCGACGTTTCTGGCCATAAAAATTAATAATCCTTCCTTCTGTGGTCTGCTGGCTCTCAGCGCCTGGGCTAATAAACATTCACGCCCGTCAATCCGAAGACGATAAAAATGTATTAATTAATATTGATATTCAACACGCATTTCAAACTTCGGTCTGTCTGTTGGAATATGAGGGGATTTTGTGCGAGAAGATCCAGTAAATAAACTGAATGAAAACTGTACAGCCTTTTATACAAACCGATTAATGAGTTTCTTACTTCTCTGCTTCAGGGCTGCGTGGACAAACTGATTGAGATCATTTACGAGAACTGGGTCACCATTTTCGCCGTCACTGCCGCCGTCATTCTGCTGGAGCTGCTGTCCCTCACATTCGCCCTGAGCCTGTGCTGCGCGGTGAGGAATCAGCACTACAAGGCCTGAGAATTACAGAACTCCCATAGGGAAATCACCGACGATGAGAAGTACTAACAAACCAAATCGAAACGGATGCATAGCGAGCGTTATTACTGAATGAAGACGTGTGTGCGAATGGGGGAAAAGCATTTAGCAGCGAAGGCTAGCGAGATAATGTCCGGTGTTCCCTGGTCAATACTTTAACAACAACAACAACACAACTGACAACAACACAATTTTGTAGTACTTTTAACAAGAAGACAAGCGAAAACAAGAACAACAACACGGGAAAGCTGAGCAATTGTATTTGAGATGTATGAACTTTTTGGAATTTGTGGAATGTTTTTAAATCACAATCTCCACAGGAGTCTCGAAATCGACTTTGTATGAACTTCATATGCCAGCAGAGCAAAAACAAAAGAACACTTTTTTAACAAAATATTTCTACCACAAGAAAAACAAAACACAGACAGTAAACTCCATATATGTGAGAGCAACATAAGCAGCTCCATAATACTTAGCCTAGCGAAAAAGTTTCGAATTCATAGATACATACTATATATTAAATATATAGATCAAAGCATAAGCACAAAAGTATAATGTTAAATGCCAAAACAAATGGAATAATGTATAAAAAAGAAAAAACAATCAAGTTTCTTTTAACACTTATTTCCCCGTATAAGACTTTCGAATCGATTAGCAATTTGGTTTTTCCGCGGCCATTTCTGTATGCTAGCACAATGCCAAAATATGAATTCATATATACGTATGTAACATATGATAACAGCATTCCACAAGAATGAGAATGATTGACAGATTTTTGTTCTGGTTAAAACGCATTGCCATCCAAAGACCCAGCCCAAAATATATATTTTCAAATCACTTCTTAACCTTGTGCAAAATGTTGTGCTAAAAATCGAATAACATTCAATTCGTAGAGCTTCGCGAAATTAAATGCCAAATATTTTATGTATTTACAAAATTGTAATTTAATTTATTTATGACCTATTTATTTGAGCATAAGCAAGGAGCAAAAACAAAATGTTAGAAAATATTAAGTAAGTGTTGTCCATTCTGTTGACAAAAGGCATTCTGTACATTTATAACTCATACTATCCCCGAGCAGTAAATTGGTCCACATTTGTATAACCTCACAGTGGATATTATCGTTTCTTGATCATCGTATCGGAAGATTTTGATCCTAAAAACTGCTAGGGTCTATAAATTAGTTTGAGTAAGTGTTTGCCATGCTGTTAATTCGCAACCTTTATAATCCCACACTCTCGAAACGAAACGATTTTTTCGAATCCAACTTACCTGCATCGAAATATTTTATAATTTAGGAATCCTCGTGCAAGGCAACTATTTATGTGGGAAACCGAGAAAGCAGCACAAAATGTTAAATGAAAAGTACACACGAACGAAACAAAAAGTCTCTATATTTACATTGTATTTTTACCATACACCATAAACTAATTAAAGGATATATATTTTTTGTAACATTTTCATTTTATTGTTGTTATATGTGAATTTTGTTGTTAGTTAAGCGTAGCCTGAACTTTGTACCCCTCACAACGTTTAAATAAATTAAATCTACAAAAACCCAATCCAAGGACAAAATTATATTAAATTTACAACAAAGAAACGCAAAAAAAATTAAAATAAATATATTGTATTTAAATTTACACACTAAAGTAAATTATTTATTTTAACATTTCTTAGTAAGTAGTTACGTGCGGAATTTCATGAAGTTAAATCAAATAAAAAGTATAAAGTTCTAGCCTAAGAGATAAGCGTCATAAAATTCACGTATATCTGTTGGATTTGTAGCCACGCAATGGAATGTTTAGGAAATAAAATCTTCAAATTTGAATGTTCTCTAAAAATTAAGCAGCATTGAACGTAGCATAATATTTATAGCACAAAACTTCATCAACATCTAAAATCAAAACCAAAAAAGAATTAAAAATCTACTCTTCAAACAAAATTACAATCAACTCAGCGTCTTCATATGGAAACTAAATAGTTTGTATGACAGGAAATGCACATTTAGCAAGCATCTACCATACATTTGAAAAATTTAAGCAATATAAACGATGCTCAAGATCTGTATTTAACAACATAATAACAACACAAAGGTACAGATAACACTGAATCATTATGGATAATTGAGATAAATTATAGAAAACAGCGGCATACAAACTGATATTTCAAATAAATAAACATACAATAAAAAATATAAAAAATTGTTTTTTTGGGTTTGAAAAATATATTATTACTAGGTACTAAATGATTGGCCCGCCTTATTAAAAGACACCAGAAAAGTACATAATTAAAGTGGTATTTTTATTAAAATTGTTTATCTGTTTTACTTTTTACCCATCTTGTTTTTGGGCATGTTTTCAATTTTGTTTTAATTTTAAGTGGCATAAGAACTGTTTTATTTTTGTCTGTTGTTTAATTTTATTTTTTATTTATCAGACTAAAAACTAAGGAAGAAAGAAAATAGAATGAAAGTATTCAAGAAATGAAGCATTAATAGGACCTACTAAAATTAGCTTTCATTAGGTGTTTCCTAAGCTGACAATATTTAACTAAAGGTACTTTTAAGTGGTTTAAGTTTTAATCATACTCTCTGTTTTTCCATTTTTATGTTTTAGCATAGTTAAACATTTATTTAGAAAGTTGACAACAAATAGTTCCGATTTTTGGTTGGAATAATGAATGTTAAAAGTAATTATCAGGATCTTTAGACAATTAAATTAATTAAAATTACACATAGATGGATTTGTCTTGTCGTATTATAGAATAGTTATTGTTGTTGTATTATTTTTTAGTAAACGCTTAGAGGGTTTTCCTATCATGTACTTATAAACAATCCAAATCACTAACCACGTTTCCTCTTGTTAAGTTTCTTTTCTTGTATTATATCATAGGGATAGCGTAAATCATTTATTTATTTAACTTAAAGATTTAGACTCCAGGATGTTTTTATGATGGTAGCTTGGGAATTAACATCTTGGGTTTCATTTACAAATCGCTTAGGCTGAAAAATTATTATCGTAATTTACATTTACTATAGGTACATTTGGATTAAATTTAGTTTCAACTAAATACGAACTAAACGTAGTTGTAAAAGTAATGCTAAAAATTAGTTACTACACGTTAGTTACACATATTAGGTTCTGGTATCGGAAACCGACTTAGATCTTTCGATTCCCATTTCCATTCCATCTAGCTAGTAACAATTAAACGTTGATCGCGACATAGCATAGTGGATATTCCTGGACATTTAGCAGCTAAAACCGATATCATAACATTATCTTCCAATTCGGTTGGTTAAATAAATATCTTTAGTGTTACATTAGTTTCAACATTAGGTATAAGCGTTTCAATTTCATTATTTATTATGTTGACTAGTTAGACACTTAGCTTTCCTCAATTCGAATCATAGGTTAATATCAATTAGTTTGCCATTTCGGTATTTCATTTGTTTTTTTTTGGACAGTGTACGTTCATATTGCATAGATCGTTTCTTAAAAGTTAGAAATTGTGGGTGGTTTACCGAGTAGGTCGCATAGATTAATTTTATTCAACAAAATCTTCTTGTTCAACACATTTACTAATGCTAAGATTATTTGATGATGGAATCGCATTAAATGGCTTTGCCGTTTGATGGGGAGTTTTTTGGTTTTTAGTGATGGTTACATTTCTTATTTTTTGAACCCTGTCTGAAAAATGGTGGAAGAATGCTTTAAAAATATTTTTATATTTAACAAAGTTGTAGGCTTGCTGAAGCTCCGATTCAACCGAAATTAAATTGTGGTAGAATCTTTGTTAGGCCTTTAAAGTTAATAATTACTGTTGGCATAGCTGTGAAACCCAACAATTAGATATTTTCTTGTTCTAATACACAGTTAGAACATTTTAAACGACACACCAGCTAGGTTGAATAATTAAATTAAAAGGTTCTGACGTCAATAAACCACTGATTCCATTTCTTTATGTTCTTCGCTTAAGGCTTTTTCCCATACAGAAATATGTTTTTTTGTTTGTTCGTTTGAAGCAACAATGGAAGAACAATGTGTACAACTAAAAGAGGAAATATCAAACCACATTGATTGTCTTGTCTTGTCGATGCACAATTAAGCATTCAATGTTTTGTGTATGAGTTTTTATAAAAACGGTCTCTCGTTCCATTATTATGTTACATTTTCATTTCGCTGCACAACTTTTGTCGCCTATTCCTGAAGGCACCCCCTCTATAGATTTTTTTTGGCGGGGGGATGATGAAATATATAGGGTGTGTAAAGTGTAAGGGCGTTACGAGAAAACCGGACAAACCTTGGCTTATTTGTGTGTAAATATATGTATGTATCTCCTGGCAAGTGTAATTTAATAAAAATGTAATTTAATTGAAGAGTCATGTTGTGAATTGCAGTTAACATTAAAAAATCAACACGGCCTTGTATAAATATTAAATAATCCGTAATTGTCAAGTGCTATTTTTATATATCGGTGGTTGGTTGGGCACACACAACCCAGGCATTATTTATTCATGTGTTTATATAGTATCTATTTTTTGCCATTTCAAACCAATTTATTGAGACAAATTGTAAATTCAATTAGTTGATGCAAAACAAATGAGCACACACATTCAAAAATGGCTTTAATAGAATATCCCACAGTCGGAATTAATTTAATTTACCGTTCATGCTCTGTGTTTAATGTTTTAATTGACGGTGAAAAAAATATGGCTCAAACAGTTTAAATTCATAATCTAGAACGTGCAAAAGAACAGAATCTGAAAAATCTCAATAAAAAACTAATGTTGGTTGGTAATATTTCTCTCAGCTAAGTGTAAATTTATATATTAGTATTCTATTATTTTTTATGCATATTTATAGTAAAGTAAATCGTGTTGAGAGCTCGGTTTCTCTTGTTGTCGGTATACCAATTCCATTCCTGAATCAAACATTTGGTTTGGTGGTTTTGTTTAGTTTTGTTCTCGAAATTAAATTCATTTATACATACAGCTATCTCGTACACATACATATTTATATAGTAAATACATATATAAGACCAATTCGCTTTTCACGGCAGGAATAAATTCATAATATGCTCAAAAAATTACATATTCTTTATAATCAATCTTCGTCGACCTCATCGTTAGTTATATAATAACACACTCATAAAGTTTAAAGATTTCTTCCTTCGATATTTTGCCTAAACTAATTTTAATTACTAATATGTTTCATTTCCTCGTTTTCCATCAATTTCACTGGTGTTTTTTGCATGCTTCTCGGGGGATTTCCTTCTTAGTATTTTTTTTTTTTTTTTTTTTAAGGGTTGTCAATTTCTTAGCGTTGCTTATTGCATTTAAAGATCTATAAGAGATATTATAGTCCTGGAATTGCGTAGGCCTGGCTCAAGCTCGCCCTCTTGTCATCAAAGGTCGTTGTCAAACATTTGCAGCGATCGCGTTACCAAATCGTCCTTCAAACAGGCCTCCAAAAACTCCTCTATCGTTATAATGCCATCCTGATTCAAGTCCAGTTTGCGAAACACTCGATCGACCTATATAAAAGAAGTTGAAATGGATTTAGTTGAATACATATCACATCTAGATCTCAATCAACATTTAAGGCAAGAATGCACTTCAATATTTTTTCAGAATATTTGTATATAACCAAACTGTATGTTGCGTGTCCATAAAAATCGAAAACAAAGTAAAGTACCGGTAATACCATTTTCCTTTATTATTATTGTTCAGCCTTTGACTGCCCGAAATCCCTTTTCCAATTTAATCCCTCATTTCAATTTCAGCGACTTTTCATTGGCATTTTCGTTTAAACATTATCAACGGGAAAACGTGAAACCTTCATCATTAAGTAAAATATCCGCTGCTGTTTCCGCACATGAAAGCTTCCGCTTTCCCCTCACTCGCTTTTCACCCACTGCCGATGCAATTTCGATCCCCATCTTATGCATTCTATATGTGCAGACGTAGTTCTGTGTGTTCCCAATCATAATTACTCATACGCACTGTGCGACCGACTAACGTCAGCGGATGCTGCACGTTTTATGAAGTGTGGCTTTTGCATAAAGAACGAAGCGTACAAATCTGCGTCAGAGGAAGTGCGATGAATATGCAGATAGATATTTAAGCAGAAAAGCCTAGAACGTGAGGCTCATTCGAGATAAACACGGATTTTGCAGTTGCAAATGTCACCATTTGAATGAATATTTTCAGCGACATGATTAAAGCCTAGCACTTGGTTTTCTGTAAGGCGAAATGAATAGGTACACCATTTTATAGAAATTATTATATTGAACTGTAAAAGTGTCCATAAGTATGTTACAATATATTTTTAATCCAAAAAGAATGGATTTATTTTGAGATATAAAAGCTTTTTCCCCATTAAGACACCTATATAATTAATTAAATTTTTCATATTTGAATGTTAAATGTGAACTTTCACATGCTAAAAACATTTTTTTTTGATTCTAATTAATTTTATCAATCCAAAGTACTGAGATTACATTTTTTACTGCATACTTTTAGACACATGTATGAGTATTTTTAAATTTCCATAAAATGTTTCTGCCAACTGAGCCATAATAAAACTTCATTCAGACAAAAATAGTTTTAAACTTAGTTCAGAACCATTACGAAATACAAGTATAAAGAGATATTTTCTCACCTGATCCCTCGCCTTGCGATCGTCCTCAGGTTGATGTGGTCTCCTACCCATAAGCTCGTGAATGGCCAAAATGATTTCGCTGAGTTCGCCGCGACTGATCCTTCCATCGCCGTTTAAATCGTACAACTTGAAGGTCCAACGCAGTCGCTCGTAAACCGAACCCCTCAGCAGCGTCGACAAGGTGACCAGTAAATCCTAATAATCATTAAAATATATAAATAGGTATGAACGCCCAAGATTGCGTAGATGTTGTTATAATGAGAAATAATTACCCGAAAACTAATGGCGCCATTGCAATTAACATCGAACGCTTTGAACACATAATGAGCGTATAAACTCGAATCTATATAAATAGAAAAAGAAAAAGGAGGCGTGTTAGGGCGATATTTTCTTCCTTTTTTTGTGGGTATTTGGGTATTTTGGCGCAGCTGCTGCAAGGACGAATTGCTCGCTTAAATGGCGCTTTATGACGCGCAACTATAAAAAGGAAAAGCATAAGACCTTAGCGACAGCACCCGCACATATACACACACCCCAAATGGGGGACATTTATACATAGACATACTTACTGCCATGTGGAAAGAATTTGGCGTAAATATCCTTAAAACAATCCTCGTGCACCACGCCCTCTGGACATTCCTGCGAAAGGAAAAAAATAAGAAAGAAATCGCGATGAAAGTGTTTGCTCGGTTAATAAAGGAAAAGGCAAATGTAATGACACTGAGTTCGAAAAGTGCCAAAAGGACTAGACCGCGAGGAATCTTGAATCTAGGAAGGTATTTTTCGTTGCCAAGTTACTCATTAATTTTTATTAAAAATGTTATACTATTTTAATTTATAATTTACTTCCGAAATCAAAGGTTATAATTGGTGCCTTACGTTAACATATAAATCCCGTAATGTAGGAATTTTTTTAAACTAGACTATAAAGAACCAAGAACTACAAGTCACATATCAACAAAAAAAGGGAAAATCACCATTAAGGTAAACTATCAGCGAGCAAAATGTCACAAAGACAAACTATCAATGGGCCAAATTGTCAATAGGGCAAACTCCAAGTGAGAAAAACTGACTCTGGTTCAAACTATCCATTTACTTGGCCCCTCAGCTCATCTCTTGTTGACCCACATATTGAAACTTTTTCGCTGAGCTGGCCATTTTCCGCACTCTTTGGCGGGAAAGTGCTTGGACACACACAATCGCTTACAAGGAGCGAATTCATTTGCAATGAAATTCAAAACGCGTGTGCATTAAAAGGACAGTCATTTGAGGGGTTCTCTTTTTTTCACACCGCAACTGGCCAGCAAGTTGTCTTTGCATCAAAAACTTGAGAGCAGTATTATTTGGGTGAAGTGGAGGGGGTGTTATGAAAAGAGTTTCGCTCTTAAATGTTTGTCATAAATGAATTAAAGTATTCATTCAGTTACTTATAGGAATTTACTGTTTGAAATAATACATCACGTTTTCTATTTCAAATATATTGTAGCCTACTTTTAAACACCTTTTTAAGTGCTTTCAAAACTTTAATGATTTTAATATTTGATTTTCTTATTTTAAAACATCATTTATTTATTTATATTTCCTTACCGTTTTGAATCCTCTGTACATGACCCGGATTTCCTGTTTGGTGAACTTGGTCTGCCGGCACAGATCCTCGAGGGCAACGGGAATGGGCTTAGGCACTCGTGTGTGTTCCAACTCATAGACCACCTCCTCGATGGGACTCTCCGGTGGCGAGGCCATGGTTGCTGCTTACTTATTGTGTTGACTGGCTGCCGTGTTTAATTAATTTCGGTGCTGATTATGATTGGCGGCTTAATATCAATTTGCATTTGAGGTGCTCCGGTTTTTAGGGGGGCAAGAGCGAACTCATTATGCCGAAAAATTCGCTGTGAGTATACAATTTCTTTGTCCTTTTTTATGGGTTCTCCACCTTTTCAGCGGCTGCTGCTCTCAATCCCTTTCAGCGTATCCTTTTTATACCCGTTACTCGTAGAGTAAAAGGGTATATTAGATTCGTGCAAAAGTATGTAACAGGTAGAAGGAAGCGTTTCCGACCCTATAAACTATATATATTCTTGATCAGGATCACTAGCCGAGTCGATCTAGCCATGTCCGTCTGTCCGTCTGTCCGTCTGTCTGTCCGTCTGTCTGTCCGTCTGTCTGTCTGTATGAACGCTGAGATCTCGGAAACTATAAAAGCTAGAAGATTGACATTTTTCATGCAGATTCTAGGAGTTCCTACGCAGCGCAAGTTTGTTTCAAAAGGGTGCCACGCCCCCTCTAACGCCAACAATCGTTAATATACGATTTTAAAAATTTCAATATTTCGGAAAAGTAAAAATGCAGTTTTATTGTGCTTATGAATACCTATCGAAATGTAGAAGAAAGTTTTTAAGTCAGACCATTCGTTAAAAAGTTACGGCGGATCAAAGTTTTTATCTCCTTCGCACTCTCTTTAGCTGAGTAACGGGTATCTGATAGTCGGGGCACCCGACTATAGCGTTCTCTCTTGTTTTTTGGTGGTTTTTGGTTACGGTTTCCTTTACGCCATTCTGCTAAGTCGCTAATGAGGCAACCATTGCTGTAACGAAATGGAAGGAGAGAGCAGGTGAGATAGACTTTACACTGTTGGAACAAAAAATTAAAAAAGAAGCAGAAATATTTAAAGACACATTTTTAAGATATAAATATTTTAAATTAGAATTTGTGATTTGTTTCTAACTGAAAACTGCGGATCTTAAATTTTATATATCATCAAAATTTTAGCTTTCACAAGTTCTATATTTAAAATACAACCATAACTTATAAAGTCATTTTTTCCGGTTCACCTAAATCAGTGCAGTAAGCCAGGGCAAGGACACTTGCAGCTGCCGGAAGTGCAACTCGTAGTGGCTGCTACCTTTGGGCCCACATCCACATTTACACCATTTATATATAAGCACATCGAGTATACGCCTTGTTGACTCCCACCGCCTGAGGCAACTTGCAAATGAAGATTATTATTGCGTACCATAAATCAAAGGCGAATCGAGTTATGCGCGCTCTTTGGCGTACTTGCAGCACCTTTACCTTTACCTTTACCTTAGCTGCAATTTCTGCAGGCCAAAAAGGGGGCGGAAAAGGAAAGGGCGTGGCAAGACTGGTGCCCAGATGAAATTAATGAGCACTTTGCATGCAAATGAATTAAATGCGAATTTATTCCAACTGTGGATTTGCTCAGCTTCGACAGCATAAACACAATGCAAATCAGCAATCAGCTTAAGATAGTTGCATTGTTGACGTTGTTATTAAAGTGTTATTAGAGGTCTCAAGGTAAACAAATATACTTAAATCGAAATATAAATTAAATCAAAATAAAAAAGTAAATGAGAGGTCATGTCCAATATAATTATTATACTACAACTAAAATTAGAAATAAATTAAATGAGTAGAACATTAAACAATGGTTTTGAGTTTAAACAATTTATAACAGAAAAATCAATAAATTGCCCATAAATTCTAATTATCCTAATAAAAACATTGACAGCCATTACTTGCTAATTTTTCTACCCATGCCAATGTGACTATTCGATTACGTTTATTGCTCATTCCTCATAATAGAACCAATCCGCAAATAAAATCCCATAAATCCACAAATTGAATTTCCTTGCAATGACTCGCAAGCAGCATCGAATCTTCAACGAACTTTTCCCGTTTTTACTTTCTGACAAATTTCAACAGCTCTTCAATATTTATCAGCGAAAAGTCAAAAAGTGTGTGCTGCAGACTATTTCCACTCTATTTCCATTTTGCATTTCCATTCTATTTGCACCCACACACACACACACACCAAACTCTTGTTAGCTTAGGGCGGGAAAATGGTGGAAGGGGGATTTCCATTTCCGACGTCACGGTTATTTTTCAGTTGGAATTGATTAAGCGGTAGATAGACCAAAAAACGGGGTCACTACGAGAGGAAATAGCTTTGACAGTTTTAATCCAAGTAAAAGTATTTATATTCCTTTTTCGCAGCTTTCTATTTCTGTAAACCGAAGGCTTTCTTTTCACCCACTCTTGCTAATAGATTTAAAATTTAATCTAAAGGCAAATGTTTGTTAAATGTTTCGAGAGTGGCATTGCTTAAAATTAGCTAAAAATAAATAAAAGCTTGTAAAAATAGTTTTTCAATTAAATAACCAATTTATTCTTGAATTGAAAACTTTTCTCATATCATATTTGTTAAAATCAAAACATTTATTTCATTTCCTTGACTAATTTTAACTTTCTCCACCACTTGCAAAAATCAGAATACCCCAAAATAAGTTTGCCAAAAATTTGTCGACGAAAATCTTAATTTCCCAGTAGCTTTACGGTTTTCGGGCCCTTCCGCACTTTCTTGCTGAATGCATAAATAATTTATAAATCGCCAAAGTAAGTCTTAAATATTTATGTCTTCTCCTCGAGCCGAACTCGAAGTGGAATCAATAACTTTAACCCAGGCAAGCGAACTCATTAAGCCACAAGCAACTGCTAAATGTTCTTTGCCATTAGCATAAATAGCATTAAAAGCGAAGAGAGCCATAAAACCGACTACAATGTCATACTTAGCTGCTCGAGCTGCAGCCAACTAATTTCATGACTCTATTTTGCACAAATCTCTGTGGCCCAGTCGATGGGAAAAGTGCGGGAAAATGACAAGAAAATGGGGGAAAAAGTGGGGGAGTGCAAAAGCGTGCAACTGCCTGCATTTTACAACATTTGAAACCATGTTGGAGTCACGCCTTTAGCATGGTCAGAATTTCCTCTCATGCACTAAAAGAAAATATTGATATAAAATTTGATTTAATTTTTTTAAAAATATATAATTCTTAATTCCAAATTCTTAAAATTTAAAAAATTCAGTTATTTAATTATAATTTTAAAAAATATTTTTAAAAAAATTTTTAAATTTTGTAAGGTATAAAACTACCAACCCAACAAAACATTAAAAGCTTTAACATAAGTGCCATTAAAATATGCAATCAAACTTCTTCTAGGATTTAATTTTAAAATTTGGTTGTTAAAAACATAATTTTAATCCTTTTGTAGGTTTAATAAGCACATTTTTACAGATTTAAAGTATAATTTTTTTCTCCCTCTGTAACATTCCTTTTCAACACTCCCAGCCCATACACACACATTGAACTTTCAAATGCAGTTTTTGGCCCTGTGTGTGGGTGCCTGTGCGATTGTGTGTGCCTGTGCATGTAAAATGTTTGTCAAATATCACGTATACGACATGTGCTTCCGGCAAAGAGCGCACGAACACCCTCGAATAACCGGGCAACCGACTGCGAATCGAATCCATTCATTGCCAGGGCGAAGCTAATTAAATATTAAACCAGGTCAGAGTGTAAACGTTATAATGCGAAAATCCTTATTAGCCAATTGCTGATTTCAAAGCGAAATATTTCGACAAAACCCACACCGAAATATACTTAAGCTGGATGGCAAAGGGATATGCAAATTTTCTTGCCAGGAACGGTATGTTTATTCATTTGTCTAATTGTGTTGTGTGTGTGTGTGTGGTTGTTCTTGTTGCTGCCAAGTTACCGGGGATTCCGAGGGACTTTTGGGGGGCTTTGTGGGTCCTTCTCTGGTGGCATGTCGGGACTTAAACTTATAAATGGCAACGACAACAGCAGCAGGCAGCAGGCAGCATTCGAGGCAAGGACAAGGCTTGGCCAGGCCAGAACCAACTTGCATGCAGTCATGCAATGCCACTCGAATGATGAAAAATAAAGCTAAAAACTAAAACTAAACAAGAACGCACGCCAGGCGGCCTCCCACTCTTTCTGCCAAACTGAAATTGTCAACAGTGGTTTGTGTATTTAAACAAAATAATATTTGACATTGCCGGTGGGGGAAAAGCACTGCAAACGAGTATTTATATATAAAATAAAATTATGCTGCAGCAGAGCCGTTCTTAATAATTTGCAAATACAACGAATGTTTTATTTAACAGGAAAATTGTACTCAATAAATTGTAAGGCAATTTTAAATGTATCAAATAAATAAATTCAGTCTTAAATAGTTCATCGGTTCCAATTTATATTTTAATTATGTTTTATAGCTTGCTTAATAATAATTATTTATGGTTATTTTATTTAAGGTGATTCTAGCCCATAAATAATTATTTAAATTGCCAAATGAATTATAAATAAATAATTTTTTTCTATTGCGTATTTTATAACTTGTTGTTTTCCAAATAACTTAAATAAATATTTTAGTCCCATTTGTAAAATACATATAATTACTTCCAGTAGTAACATTCATATTTTAATTACTGCATAAGACCAAAACCTTTCCAATGCAATGTCACTGTGCGTATTTCATGTCTCCTAGTCGGTTCCATTGTCATTTCCTGCTGTTTTCATGCCACTTTCATGGACAACTTAGACAGACTGGCACAATGAGAGGAGTGCCAAGCTCGAAAGGCAACGAAACGAGCCCGGAGATATCTAAATAGGGACTTCCAGAACCGAACCGAACTGATCCGACACGCAACCGCAAAAACCACCAAAGCACTACAATTTCGAGAGCATTATTAAATTGTGGATATATCTACGGCATATTGGGGTTTGTATATCACATCTTTTTTTTGGGGGCCTGTGCCAATTGCCGCGCTGTGAACTACAACAATTGAATTTTTTTTTGCCTAAGCTTTTGTTGGCGTTCACCCATAAGTTTTTGGTTCGTGGGCGAATCTCGTTGCGCCTACCAAAGACAATAAATCAACGCCAATTATATGTCATTTTTTCGTGGATTTTTCCTGGCTTTCCACCAAGGCAAGCGATGACGACAGTTGATGTAGGGCTTTCAACACTTTTCAATCCCCGGCTTCTGGCCAAAATCAGGCCACTAATGTTAAATGGGCAAATAATGAACAGGCAGGCACCGATCCAAAGTGTCGAAATGGAAATGCATTGCCCACAGATTAGAGGAGATATTGTGTGTGTGCACTTTGATGTTGACACGAGTCTGCTGGGGATTCGAGATAATGGACTGATTGTTTTCCAAACGTTCAACTATTAATCATGACAGCACTTAAACAAGACACCCAAGTTGCTGACATGCAAATCGATATATGGTTTTTAGACCAGCCTAATGCTCTTGTTAATCATTAAACAGTTTTCACATAAACACGTTGATGAATGGCGACACAAATGTCTATTGCCAAAATGAATGGATGCTGATATTTGATCTAAAATGTGCAATTAATTTGTTGTTTAGAAAATGGATTTATAATTACTGGTTTTAGTGTTTTAAATTAATAAATAGATAAATTAAAATTAATAATAGGAAAATAGGGAATTTATTTTAAAGGTGTCTAAAAGTATGCATCGATAAATAAAGATTTTTATTTAATGGATTTTAAATAAATTTGTAGCACACTTTTAGACACCTTTTTCATTGAGATCTAAAAACTAAAATGTTTTCTGTACGACCCTCGTATAATTTTTATCATATCTCCCCCTCAATATTTAACCCCGACATGTGGTATACAATATCTGAAAAGATCTGACAGCATGACGCATAATTAAAGTTGGTAATTGTGCCAAA